GCTTCCAAGGCCCCCGCGGCGCGCGCGAGCAGCGGGCTGCAGAGCCGAGGCGGGGCCTGCATCGCCCGGCGGTTCTCTCGACCCGGGCAGAGCCAGGCCTCCCCCGCCTTCGCAGGGCACCACCTCCGGGGAAAGAGTCCTCGGCGAAATGTCCTGGTGCTTGCGAGGACTGTCCCCAAACTGGAAGTCTGGCGGTGAGCCTCCGACACCCGTGCGCTCCGCGCCTCTGTGCTCGGCATCCTCCAACCGCCTGTGCAGACTCCGCGCGGCGCCCTTCGCCCGAGCCGGTGCGCTCTCGCCTTGTCCACCGCCCGGGTCCCTTTCCGCGCAGCGCGGCGGGGTCGGGCTCGCATCGGTTCTTTTTGATTTTTCAACTTCGGCCAGCATCTCTGAAGCCGTGGGCAGTGCTACTACGTGAAAAGGAAGACAAAATCGGAGGCACACATTAGGAGAACACTGACATTTAAAACAGAATACATTAGGGTGGTAGGTCTTCTCAAAAAACACAGATATATTTTAATCCTCAAAGAAAAAGCATCAATGCTCGACCTGTAAAATTATTCTTTTGTACATATCAAGTAAATAAAGCTTGGTAATGTTGCTGGAATCAGATACCTTATTACCCCGATCCACCCAACCCACCACTTGCTGCAATAGATGTTACAGTATTTCAAGAGTCAGCCGCAATGTTTTCAGTTCCTTTGATTCCGATGTCAAAGATGGAGTTTGGGACAAAGAAAGTTTGCAAGAAGCAGCTGAAAAACCCAACACACACACACACACACACACACACGTGTATGCACAGACACGTGCACACAACCCTCCCTCTGCAAAAGCTAAACAAGGTTCTGATTTACTTAGCTAGGACCCTAGGTCAGATCAGAAACAAACTAGCCACATGGCATAAGATCAGAAACAGCAAATCTCAGAACAGTGCATGTTGCTCTCTAGGGTCCGTGGAAAGGGCACTGTTGCTTCAGATTTAGAAAAATGAGGCATAAAAATAAAATGATTTGAATAAAATTATGAGGAATGTTTCATGAGTTCCTGAATTATCTCTGCTTCAAGTTTTCTAGAAGTGCAAAAACTCCATCCTGATAGGTTATGTATCTCCCAGTGCAACTGTGTGTACCATGTTTTTTCATTTTCATGTACTTCTCCCAGCCCATACTTTATAAACTATGTTCTATACAGAAAGAAATGATCTGTGCCTTCTTAGAAGTGTTCCCTTATTACTATGAACTATCCTTTTTTGTTTGTTTGTTTTCCGGTACGGGGACTTGAACTCATGACCTTGCGTTTGCCAGGCAGGTGCTGTGCCGCTGAGCTAAATCCCCAGCCGCTATCTGTCCATTTTATTTTATTTTATTTTTTTTTCCCCTCCGGTACCGGGGACCGAACTCACGACCTTGCGCTTGCCAGGCAGGCGCTTTTGCCGCTGAGCTAAATCCCCAGCCCCTCTGTCCATTTTAATGCCATCTCTAACTTGCCTTTATGTTGCACTTCTCTTTATAATTTATGAAATGTCAGCATTGCATTTGCTTGGCATATCACTCACCTTCCTATTATTTTGCATTTTAGAAAATCTTTTTGAGACAGGGTCCCACTATGCATTTCAGGTTAGCCTTGAGCTCATTTTGTAGCCCAGGCTGGCCTCAAACTCACAAGAATCCTCTTGCCTCAGCCTCCCGAGTGCTGGGATCACAGGTGTGCAACACCACGCCTGCCTAGAAATTCTTATAAAAAGAGCAACTACCCATATTTTGTAAATTCCTATTTGAAAGTTGTGGCTCTTTTTGGGGGTGGAGGCACTAGCAGGGGGACTGAACCCAGGGCTTTTGCACTGAGCCACATTCCCAGGTCTTTTAAATTTTTTTTTGAGACAGGTTCACATGAAGTCTCTAACTTTCCCAGGCTGGGCTTGAACCCGTGACCCACCTGCCTCAGCCTTTTGGAGTGCTGGGACTATGGTCAGGCACCACCACACCTGGCGGGCTGTGGGCTTTAATGAGTAAATTTAACCTCATTATATTTAGTTTGATTGCTGATGTTATTATCTTCCAGTTACCCAGGTCTTCAGGTTTTTTTCCCTTCCCTGATCTTGTTAGATTAAAATTTTTCTTCCAAAGTTTTCCTCTACTAATCTGAAAGTTATATATTCCATTTCTATTTCTTTGTTGGTTATCCTTAAATTTCAGCACATAGACACAAATCTGTATTTTTCTAGGAACGGCTAGTGTTATCAGTATCTATAGTGTCTCCTTGAAAACAGTAAGTCTTAGTTTCTGCAACAATATCCTCTGCCACTTCTCTAAGAGTACTATACTGTATGTTCTCAGGCCCCCTTAGGTATAAATTTTATTGGTTTTGTTTTGTTGTTAATTTGGTCTTTTTTCACAGTGGTGGCTTTCTGTAGCTACCTGGTGATTCTTGGTGAAATGCTTGTCTTTTAGCTGCTTTGAATAATGTGTCTGCTCACTTAGAGGCATCAGGGGGCAGAAGGGTGCAAGGGCTGCAGGTAGAAAGAGCCAGCAGCTGGCGGCCTGGGCACAAGGGCTCCCGTTCCTCCTGGGTGTGGCTGGCCGCCTGGAACACTGCCTGCTCCTAGGTCGGGCTCCTTCGGCTGCTGCCCAGTGGAACAGAAGGGAGGGGACGAAAAGGCAGAGAGAAGGGGCTCTGCCTGGTTGCTGCTGCTCTGGAATACCAACTAAAACCCCGGAGGTGACCACAGAGCCCGGGACCAGCAGCTTCACAGGGGCGTCGTTTGAATATTGTGCCTACGTGAGGTTGTCACCATCTGGCACTGACATGAAGTTTCCCATCTTCAATCACATACCATCTTCTTCCCCCAGGAATTTCTCATAGCTTCTGGTCCACATGTTACAATCTTTTTTCCATATATATATATATATATATATATATACACACACATACATTTTTTTTTTTAGAAAGTGGTTCTGGGGATCAAACCCAAACCCTTGTGCGTGTAAGGCAAGAACTCTACCACTGAGCCACACCCCTGGCCCTATATTTTTATTAGTGCCTCTGTATTTACAAATATTGAGTTTCAATGTGGTATTCTCATAGATGCATCTAACATGTTTTGATTATGACCATTTAAAACCCAGGTATTAATTTCATATTTTTCTCATTGTTCTCATTCTTTACTTGTTGCTTAAAATCTTTTCTGTCGTAGCTGGGGACAGAAGCCGTGCTGGGAAGGGGTGGGAATCCTCACTCTGCCTATTCAGATGGAAACTCTGCTCTTCTGTGTACATTTCCAGTTCAAGTGAAAGCCACACACACAACCTGATAACTTAACTCCCATTCCTTACACTTCTGCTCTTTTTCATATGAGGAACATCCACGAGAGAGGAGACAGAAAAGCCGCCCGAGGGACTCATCTGACATACCTGGCTGTGTCACTTTGCCCTGGGTTCTCTGAGAGGTTGGCGTTTCCAGCAATTTCGCCATTGTAGCAAGTTTGCTAGCGGTGTTCATAATCTTTTTCTCAGCCCTATGGGGAATTCCAGAATATAAAATTAAAGTAGTTTAAATGAAAAAATGAGTTTCCTAAACCCTAGGATCTGTTTTCCTCTTAGCTCTGCCAGCAGTTAGGGTAGCACAACCATAAGCCCATCTTAATCCCCGGTGGCAGGTCATAGAAAAGTTCACTCTGCGGCTCAGGAAAACGCTTAGAAAACGACAACACGCTGCTCTGGAGCTCTCGGGACAACTGTCTGTTGAGAGGAAACTTACCCTTCCTCTTTTCCATCATCCTGCAAAATCTGCTGGAGGCAAATCAAGTAATATTTACGCATCTTTCGGGCGGTTTCTTGACGCTCCCGCAACACCTCCTCCTTTACCATTTCCGCAGCCCTCTGCTTGCTCTCCTGGATGTAGCGCAGCATGTCACCTGCAGGGCAGGGAGAGCCCCCGGCAGGACAGCTCGTTAGCACGGGCTCAGGGAGACAGGGGCGGCCGCACACCTCTTCTGGGAGAGGAGGCGACCGGAGGTAGAGTTTATACATGTGGAACATCCGGGCCATTCACGACCACCGTCTTGGTAGGGTCAAAGGGAAGTGACCTGCTGGTCCTTCTGGACTGATGACAGCCACATATGGGAAGGAGGCACAGTGGACTCTGTCTTATTCCACAACACTTTAACAGGGAAATGACAGAAATACGCGGCACAGAAATGCAAACACCACTGTACACGACGCCCCATTAGAAGACAGAGAGACAGGGTGAAAGGAAGGAAGAGGAAAGCAGACACTGAAAGCAGAAAAGGAGGCGGTCTGAGCTGGACTCCCGCTCCTCCCTCACGCTGACGGTCCACGTTCCTTTATTAATTTAACGCTCTCTTGAGTATGTCACTACACACAGTAGTATAGTGCATGAGAGAAGGACAAAATGCTACTGCCGGGAGCGTGGTGACATGTACCATTTTCTCCTGGAATTTATACAAAATCGTAACTCGCAGCTTTTAAATTCTTTTCACTTTTCACTCAACAAGCCCTTGACTGAGACTACTAGTTAAGGCTAACCGTTTTTACTAAGTCCAGGACTACATCCTACATCGAGAATGTCACCATTCTTCTTATATAAGTGATGTTGACTTGTACTGGAATGGCGGCCCTATTAATGTCAGCAAGCATCTGGGAATTAGATATTCTATGCAAAAATACTAATGGGGCGGGTATTCTTCGTTGAATTGGAAAAAAAAAAATTTTTTTTTTGTCTTTTTGAGACAGAGTCTCGCTATAAAATTCAGTCTGGCCTTGAGCTCACTTTGTAGCCCAGGCTGGTCTCGAGCTCCCAACAATTCTCCTGCCTCAGCCTCCCAAGTGCTGGGATTACAGGCATGCGCCACCACGCCTGGCTTGAACTGGAAAAATTAAAAGGAAGTACAGGTCAACACAGAATCTCCAGTTATCTTTCTAAAATGTAACTACCATACACACACACACCTTATATTAGGATGAAAAATGCTTAAAACTTTACTTCCTAATTAAATCGTTAACCCTAAACATGCCCTTCATTAGCACCAGAAAAAACTGAGATGTAAACCCTCTTAAGTGATACTGAAGGCGCTTTTCAGAATGTTTACATGATTCTGGCATCTGTTCATCATATTTGGAATTTGAGATCTGTTCATGTTCTTTAAAAAGCGAATACAATTTTAGGAGACAAACATTTTTCCTATATAAACACTGGTTGCTATGTTGTGACATATGTACATTTGGGGCAATTTGGTAATGAATTGGTAATGGTAATGTATTCTATATTGAGAAAATATATACAAGAAGAATGCTTTTTAGAATACCTGGTACCACCTGGTACCGACCTACAAAAACTTGGCAAACAAATTTATAGCTATTTGAAATAAAAATGAGAAATAACAGATCTACTCCAAACTACATTCACTGCCAGAGGCCCTATAAGTTTATGCTAAAAAGTAATAATTGCTAATTTAAAACTCACTTGCCATCTTCCTCACTACACCTCAGTGAGATTGTAAGGTTACTAAACTTTTAGTTTATACCAATGTTTACACAACAACATGGGATAATCAACAACATGAAAGCACCTCTACTCTCATGCCTCTTCCAAAGGGTAGTACTTGGGCCAAAAGCTACATTACTGCAAACTTCTGAAAATGTATTAATGGTATTAAAGGTAGTGTTTGGAAAGTCCCAGTTTATGTTTCCCACCAATAAAATGGCCCAATCCCGCCCTAAGATTCTGGGAATGTCTTTAGGGACTTACGCTTAATTTTCTTCACAGCTTTAATGTACTGCCCACGAAGCTCTTCCAAAGCCTGCTCATTACTGGGCTGACCAGCACTTTCCACCGCCCCTTCTGACTGTGACCTAAGACAAATCAAAGGCAGCAGAGACAGAGACCCTGAGTAAAAAGCTCCTCTTGAGAAACAAACGCATATTCACGTCCTCAGGCAAGAAGTGCAATGAGTTAAAAGTTTCACACTCCAGGCCGGGCACGGTGGCGCATGCCTGTGATCCCAGCACTTGGGAGGCTGAGGCAGGAGAATCGCTGTGAGTTCGAGACCAGCCTGGGCTACAAAAAGAGCTCAATTGCATAGGGAGACCCTGTCTCAAAAAGACAAAAAAAAATAAAGTGTTACACTTCAGGATTTCCACTATACATAAGAAGAAAAGGGAAATCACTGAAACGCTATGGTTGCTTAAATAAATACTGGTAGCCAGTAGGGTGGCGCACACCTGTCATCCCAGCACTGTGGGAGGCTGACACAGGAGGACTGCAAGTTCAAGCCCAGCCTGGGCCATTTGGTGACTTTTAGGCCCTGTCTCAAAATAAAAAGTAAAGAGCAGAAGATGTAGACCCTGGGTCCAGTTCCCAGTATCACAAAAGAAAGGCTGGGGGGTGAGGAAAACGTATAGCATATAGTGAAATGTAGAAAGCTATTGCAAAGTATATTGTAGGAAAATATCAAATAACGTGGACAGATGCTTTCCTAATCATATTAATGAAGGGTTATAATAATCCTAATTTTAGAAACATGCTATGTACATGGTACGTGTATTTGAAGAGGCTGAAATGATATAAAACAAGGACTTCACATGGAGTATCTTCTGGGGAGAGGGTTTGGAGACTTTCTTCTCTTTTATACTTTTTGCTATATAAAAAAAATAATAAGGGTCTCAAGAAATGTAACACTACTTAGAAATAAGATGGTTTTAAAATAGTAAACATCTACCTTGGTGGCATTTTACAGAGCGTTCGCAGTTCTTCCAATTTACTCTTCATGTCATTGTTTTCTTCTATTAATTCTTCAACAACTTTCGTATTCTCTTCTACAAAAGAAAGGAGTACCTTAGCTGGTCCCCCACCTTCCCTCCCTCCGTGTCCCCAGCAGGAACGTCTGCAGAGCAGACTGCCCTGTTTCCGGCTGCTGTCCTGTCATCCGTCCCGATGAACCCTAGCCTGACCATTCCCTGGTCTGTGTTCTCAGCCCTGAAAATCCGCTCTCTCTCTTCCGCTCCCTTTGGACTACGCACTGCCCCGGAAGTGGTTCCCAGCCGAGTGTGAGGCCTGGGTGTTGCTTCCCAGCTGCACCACAGCTCTGTAGAAGCCTCTGAGCTGCTTTAATTCCATGTGTCCCTGTCTATAGTTGGTGCCCATCTAACCGGTCACTGAACAAGCACGCCACTATAAAACAAGAAAATTAACCTTAAGTACATGCCGTTTCTAGAGATAATGTAAGATTTCCAAGTCTCTGAACTTTTAAAAAGATGGAGAGACTAATACAGGTCTATGTGGCATGAAAGAAAAAGAGCCTGAACCTTCAGGTCAGAGAGACACAGTTTAACGACTGGCCCAGCTTCTTAGCACTGGCTGCACCCAGGCCACGAACTTCAGTCTTCCTGAACCTGCGGCAGTGCCCCTGCGTCATGGGCCTCAGGGACCCCGACAGCGCTAAGGCAATGGAGGCTCATCACTTCCGCGAGGCCTGGCCTCCGTGCTCACACGGCCCGCAACACGCTCACGGGCTGGGACCCACGGCCCCCTGCGCCCTGGGACTGAGGCAACATCTATCCCGAGGCCGCTGGCCCCCCAGCTTCGGTAAATGCTCGCAAGAGAATGGAACGTGGGATTTCACAAACAAAAGAGAAGCAATCACAGTCGCAAAGACCTTAACACCGAATAGGTTTACGTTAAGGCAAAAATTCAAATAAAATTATTGAATGACTTAAAGTGTGGCCCTGACCCTTTTTATTGGCCCATGTTTTGAGAGAAGCAATGACTGCCTTGGATTATTTCTAAGCCTATGAGCTACAGAAACTGTCAGCCTCACACATCACTATGCAGAATAAGTAATCATCACAACGGCCAGGGCCAAACAGCACTTATTTATGAAGAACAACCATTTCCAACTGTTACTGCCACTGAATTTTTCCTCACACTTTACAAGAGCTGTATTCTATCTCCATCTCCATCTATCTCTATTTCTGTAGTTGGACAAAGATCTCATTTGCTCCTCTGGCCTCTATGAAGAACCGAGGAATCACAGAGAGATGCAGGGCTGGTAAACTTCAGCGTGGTGAACACCTCCCTCGCTTGAAATCCTTCTTATCTCTCCCCCACAGGGCGGCAGCAGGAGGTGGCGGCGGCTTCTCAGGCAGACACTGCTTGATGCTGGGCTGTGTCAGGACGGGGACATGGAGCCCACAGCAGTGGGGAGTGCGGGCAGTGAATAAGCACAAGCGCGGGAACGTGACAGAAGCACGGGGCCACGGGGACCACGGGTCAGAAGCACCCGGCTAGGGACTCGGTGCTCAGCGAGGGGCCAGGAGGGGTCTGCCTGGCAATGAGAGCGGAAGAGACTTGGGCAAATTAGACTCAGACTAAAAAATAAAATAAAAAGGGCGGGATGTAGCTCAGTGGCAGAGCAGCACAGACGATGTGAAATTTAAGCGTTTGTAGTAGTGCTGAGGGCCACGGCAAGCCATGGGAGAGCTCTTCACAAGGCGGTATCATGACCCAGTCGCTTAAAAGGTCACTTTAGCTGCTTGACGGCAAGCAGACAGACTCAGGGACGACTGCCATGGTCCCGGCAAGAGAGAGAAACTGAGTGCAAAAAGCAAACGAACCCACTCGCCAGGTCTTTGTGGACAACACGATTCTTTGAGACTCCGGTATTCGGGTTTGCTATTCATTCAAAGACTGTCTGGTACTAGTGGGCTCCATCCCTGAATGGTGAAGGAGACCAGACAGACCCTCACCCTCTAGGAAGAGTCTGGAAGGGCATCGGGCAGCCAACCAAAGGTTACGGACAAGGAGGGCTTTGCCTTAGGGAGGCATAAAGGGTAAAGGGCAGGACAGAGGGGCGGCATCACACGCAAGGCCAACAGGAGAAGAAAGGACGGCCACAGCAGGAACCCGAAACATTCCAAATGTAAAAAGCACAGACCCGAGGTGGAGTGACAAGGAAGGGCACCAGGAAGTAGCAGAAGGCATCTCTCCCAGTGGACAGCCCTGCGGCACTGTGACACCCGGCCCGGCCCCATTCACTCTGCTTATGCCTTTACCCAGAATGCAGCAGGGCGTGGTGGGGCACGCCTGTAATCCCAGCACTCGGAGGCTGAGGCAGGAGGATCATTGCAAGTTCAAGACCAGCCTGGGCTACAAAGTGAGCTCAAGGCCAGTCTGAACTCCATAGCAAGACCCTGTCTCAAAAAGACCAAAAAAAAAAAAAAAAAAAACCAGAATGCAGTGCCCCACCAGCTGGCCACGGAGGCCTAGGCAGACCCTCCAGCACCAAGAACACGGCTTGATGTCTATCAGGCCCTTAACTGCCCAGGCAGGGACAGAAGAACACAACAGAAAGCTTTAGTGCAAGTGAAGCTGTCCCCTTCTGAGTTTACTAATAATTTGGTTAGTGAAAAGAAGATCCGCATTGGCTCACATCAGCCCCCAAAGGGAACGAGGGTGCATATTAACAGAAGTGTCACATCTGAATATTCCAGGGAGCACCGCAGAGCTTTGTGCTGGTAGCAGAACAGCTTTTCAGCACTAACCTCCGATCTTTTCCACGACGGCCTGATGCTTCCTTTCTAAATGCTGAAGATGCCTACAGCTTTTCTCCAGTTTCCTTTTCAGGTCTTGACACTCTTGCTTTGACTTTTCCAGTTCTTGGAAGCACTGTCCATAGCACAAATCTTTAATGTCTAGGATCTCTTTCTTATCTGCAAAAATTAAATGACAGAACTTGATCAGTGTAGACTGAGAGAGGAGAGGAGAGAAGAAGGGAGGGGAAGAGGAAGAAAAGAAGAAAGCAGCAAGGAAAGAAGGAAGGAAGGAGGGGGAGAGAACAAGCTGTGATGACTCACGACAAAAAGCTATGCTGCAACTGAAAGAGTAGAATGCTTAAGGCAGAGACCTGGGTTCAACCCTCCTCACTCCCTACTGGCCGCGTGACTCGGAGTTTTTTTAAATATGTAAAGTTGGATAGCACCATCTACTTGAAAAGCTGCTGTGAAACCCAATGCTCAGATGTAAATACTGAAACCTCGCCCCACTAGAAGGAACCAAGCAACTTTAAGAAACGGCTGCCTCCACACGGGGCGAGGGCATAGCCAAAACGAGGCTGCCTCCACAGGGGGCAAGGGCATAGCCAAAACGAGACTGAAATACCTTCTCGTGCCAAAAAAGCAAGCAAGCACTCAAAACTGCAGGTGCGTCAGGACACGGGGCTGGTTTGCAGGGGCTGCCCCAGCTGAATTTGGGATGTCTGAGCACTCACTAATTAAAGCAACTAACAAAGGACTGGATAAAGAGGAATGTGTAAGTCCTACCAATAACCCTGCAGATGGATTGATAAGTAGGTCAGGGGATGGACGGACGGGCACACAGAGGGGCAAATCCACACACAGGTGAATGACAGCAGGCGTTTGCATTACAACCGCATGCAGAGTGGGAAATGGCAGACGGAAGCCTGGAGTGGGAAAATTTACCATTTTATAAGCACCATGGTAAAGACGGGATTTGGTTAAGAACCACCAATGACGGCCAAATCTAAGAACAAGTTTAATGAGGATATTTGCATGGTCTTCAATGTGTCTCTCCACAGGGTGCTCATCAGTTGAGAGGAAGAAAAACCTCCAACGATGATGTAACGAAGAAATGAGACAATATTTTGACCAGACGATCCAAATTAACCTCAACAAGAAAAGCCAAAGGGGCAGCACGTGCTTCCGGATGTGAACACGGGTCACCCACACACTTCCGGATGTGAACACGGGTCACCGACGCACTTCCGGATGTGAACATGGGTGACGCACGCGCTTCCGGACGTGAACGCGTCACCCACGCAGGGTGCCGCCAAGGTGAGCACAGTCTGAATCTAGCCATGAAGAAACGTAAGAGAACCCAAAACAAGAAAGGTTCACGGTGATGAGAGCCACAAAAGGCTGTGGAAAGGAAGATAAGCGAATGTAATTCCAGGTCCCTGGTAGATTCTCGCACCCGGGGGGAAACACTATGGAAGACATCACTGGGTCGATCAACAACACTGGAATACACGGCACATGGACGCTTTGATCTAATGTCAAATGTGCAATACTAAGGTTATGCAAGACAATACTCCTATTCTTGGAAAATCCAGACTGGGGTATTCAACATAAAAGGTTACAGTGTACATACCTTATCCTCAAGGGGTTGAGAAAAAAATGAAATTAATATATGTGTACACACATACTGAAGAGCACAAAATGAGGTCAAATGTTACCGATGGAGATATCTAACGGACACGTAAGTGTTCTGGGCAACTATTTTATTTTTGCTACTTTCCTGTAAGTTTGAAATTACCTCCAAATTTTAAATAATCCTTTTTTTAAACTGTTAGGAGACCTAAGGATATAAAAATGGTTTGGTGCTGTACCAACACACAGCAAACACATGAAAAATAACAGCTATGGCCATTGGTAATATCATAGAATTTCAGAAATTAAAATAAAATAATATAAAAGGTTGGCTATGACTATAAATGCAAGTGATATAAAGAACGGAGAAATACAAACTGGCACACACTCACAGACCAATATCCAAATGTTAATATAAAGTCACTGATCCAGGAAAATTATTCTTAGCTCTCTCTTGGCTTTTTTAGTTTCATTAAAATGATGCCATTTATATTTACAAGCATCAAAAGATCAATGCAAATCACATTAGTGCCATATGCTGATATTGTTTCTTACCATACTGATGTAAAACTAGAAACGAAGCAAGTGCCCACTGACACGAGAACACACAGTTATGGTGTATTCATACAGTAAAGATGGAGCGCCATCCTCAGCACTTCTGTTATGGTGTATTCATACAATCCTCTATACAGTAAAGAAAATGAATAACCAGAGACCAGTGCATCAGCATGGACAAACCCTAGGAGCACGGGGGGTACACAGAGGAAAAGGCACCTTACAGAGAATATCATGACTATTAAACCATCTATACGTTTAGACAAAAAATAAAGCCATGGTTTAAGGATATATATATATATATATATATATTTGATGAAAAGATTAAGAGGCTAATTTTTAGAAAACCAGGGGACCCAGAGTATCTGTTCCCTCGGTTGAGGGATGTGGCAGGGGTGGAACTGTAGGCCAACAGCACTGGTGAGGCACTGCCGTTTGAGCTGGGTGGTGAGTTCCTACTCACGAGGCTTCTAACTTACCTATCCACTGCATATACATTTTGCAAGTATCAAATATTTCATAGTTAATATAATCAAGCCACCGATAGTAGTGCTCCCTAGTGGTAAGATTGTAAAGGACTTTTTTCCTTTTTTTTGGTAGTGGGATAAAACCCAGGGCCTTCAATGGAGCGCCATCCTCAGCACTTCTGTTATTTATTATTCTGAGACAAGTTCTCATTAAGTTGCTAAGTTGCCCAGGCTGAGCTCGAACTTGCAATTCACCTGCCTCTGCCTCCCGGGCACTAGGATTACTGGCATGTGCCACCACCGTGCCCAGCAGGACGTATCTTTTCATATATGCTTTGGATTCTATTCTTGCTCATGAATTTACTAATGTGTTTGTTTTAATGGAAAAAGACTGACAAAAATAAAATCTTTTATAGTTTTGATTTGTCTTCACCCCAAACTAATCTTTTATAGGACTGATTTCATTCACAGGAATTCCTGAGAAAGTAACATTTAAAATTTGTTTGTGTTTCACATATGAAAATATATTTCTCAGCCAGGCATGGTGGCACACATCTGTAATCCAGCACTCGGGAGCCTAAGACAGGAGGATTGCTGCAAGTTCAAGGCCAGCCTAGGCTACATAGTAAGTTCAAGGCCTGCCTGCAGCCTGTACTACAAAGCGAGTCCCTGTCTTTAAAAAAAAAAAATTATATGTATACGTATATGTGTGTGTGTGTGTGTGTGTGTGTGTGCGCTATTCCAATTCTGATACAAAATGTAAAGTAAGAAGCAAGATATAGATTAAGGTAGACTTACCATCCACCTAACTAGCAATAAGATATTCCTAACTATTTAGAATCTGGAAGTAAGGGAAAGGGATCTGTGATCAGTGAGAAAAATACCTGCCTCTTAGTACAGGCAGACAAGCCGAGCTGATGGTAAGATTGCACTGAATAAGGCTGACCCAGTAGGTATGATTTGCCTTGTCCATTGCTAGTTTTTTTCCAGACTAGAAAACAGCAAGCAAGAAGCAGGAAGTGTGCATGTGTGTGTGTGTGTGTGTGTGTGCGTGTGCGCATGCATGCATGCATGCGTGTTCAAGGCAGGAGCAGGCTGCAGAGGGTGAGCAGCCTGAAAAGGATGAGACACACAATGGATTTGCCAGTTCCTAGCTCAGAAACCTCAGAGACCAGGCAAGACAAGCCTCGCATTGCTCAGGAAGTGCGCTCTGAATATAGGGGGCTGGGGTGCAAGCACAACCTTACCTTTCTGTAATGACAAGTGTAAGCCATTAAGGAAAAATTAAAGTATTCATTCTTCAGACGTTCAAGGAGTACAAAGTACTTACCATTCACTCTGCCCATGCTGGAGAAGAGATTAAAAGCACCGCCCCTGCCCTGAAAAAATAAACTCACCACTAAACTAGGAAAACATGTAATACACATAAGCAAGAACTGCACTGAACGAGGACTGAAATCCGGTATGGTGGCACACACGTGTAATCCCAGTACTCTGGGAGGCTGAGGCAGGAGGATCACAAATTCTAGCCTATCCTGGTCATCTTAGCAACTTAAGAGGGACCCTATTTCAAAATAAAGAGGGCTGGGGATGTAGTTTAGTGTGAAAACCTCCAGAACTGCAAAAACAAACACACATAACGAGAAACAAAAAACAAGAATTGAAATTAGTATCAGGAATCTGAAAGAAAAAACTCTCCACTATTTGGCAGTTCTCTTATGTGAAACCCTGGCTTCCCAACGGGGAGGGAACAAAAATGTGGCTCCTCTATGAAAACTGTCATTATTCTCCTTGCAGAGAGAATCAATTGTGCATGGAGAGAAAACCACATAAAGGCAGGAGTTGATCAGTCTACGCATGTTGAGTCAGAGTAGTATTTCACGTCCGCTCATATCTGACTTCCTTCTGTCCTCACAGCAGGCCTCTGGGATGGTAACTGTGGACACTATCAAGACCAAGGGAAATGAGATCCAATTACCAGCTCTTGCTGCTGCATCCGGCAAAGCTGAGGGCTTGGCGTGGGGTTCGGGCCAGGACGCAGGGCTCCCGGGGTCTCCTCTGCTGCAGCCCTCGCTGGCGGGGCCTGTGGAGAGTTCAGCCGTGCTTCTCTGAAATACATCACCTTCATCGTTATCGCCTCGTAAAAATCACCACACACATTTCTATTTAGCATATTCATATGAAAAATACAAAAAGAGCACTGCTTAAAAGCAGTTTCACCCACACCAGCATGGATGCTATTCCTGTCATCGGGCAAAGGACCTGCTCCGAGGGCCGTGTCGCCAGTCAGAGAAGTAAGGGAAGACTGGTGCAGGTGCCGGGACATCCACAGCCCACACCTTTATCCGTATGGATTTGCGAGATGTGGAATGACTCATGTGATTAAACCACAAGACAAACAACGGGAAATCAAAATTATTCCTGCAAATCCAAACATTTTTGTTGTACCAGGGTCAAATTCGTTTGCAAGGATAACACCAACTTTTGCCTCCTACAACTTGAAAACAACAAAGTAATTTTTAATTTATAGGATACTTACGTGCTTCTAAGTACTCGTGCACACGCGTCTTTGGGAAGGAAAGGCCAGCTGCGTTCCAAGTTAAAGACAGAACCTGAGGCTCAGCTAAACTAAACGTCTTGCACCAGAGCATTTCATCAGCAACACGTGCGGAGGTACTTTTTGCGTGACGGGCAAGACAACTTACGAAGTTCACTTCTTCTTCAGGCAACATCCCCATTTAGGACAGCAGAGTGCATGACACTGATAAAGTGAACACACAATGTGTGCTTCATTCCAACAGCCCTGGTCCTGAGGACAAGAAACCCACTCACGCAGGGTGGGGAAGCCTCCCTACAGTGACTGCAGAAGGCTGCTGAGGAACCACAAGAAGGAAGGCCGCTGCACGAGAGGAAGGTTGTGAGATCCGGGCCCAAAGGAGAAATAAAAGCTCAACTCAAAGGCAGTTAATATCTCTGGTTTCTACTCAAAATCGGAGCAGAAAAGCCAAGGTGACAAGAAAAATTTAAAAAGGTAGGAGAGCAATCTTTTGTTCTTAGTTTTAACTTGATTGTCATAGTGAGAGAAGTCAGAACATGCATCCTTAAGTTTGCCTCAAACTCTGTTCCAGTTGGTATTTTTGCTTTTCTTTTAGCTACTGTGAACTGCTGTGTTAAAATATTTTGATAAGATGTTCAGTTTCTTAGAAACTATATTTTTCATTTACTGTATTCTCCATTCTAGAAAACTTCTGATCATTTCAGTCATTTTAATGAGGACTTCTTTAGATACATAATTCTTATTCTTTTCATGTTAACAAACAATTTAAATTCTACAGATTTCATGCATTATAAATCCATTCTTCATATTATGCCATGTCTACTGCAAACTCATAATCACAGCTAGGGGCTGGGGATTTAGCTCAGTGGCACAGTGCCTGCCTGGCAAGCACAAGGTCGTGGGTTCGATTCCTGGTACAGGGGGGAAAAAAACAACAAAAAACAAAAGAAAAACAAAAACAAAAACAAATAATCATGGCTGTACCTCGACGCCCTGAGCTGAGTTAGCTCAGAAATAGCTGGAGGTCAAATATGCCAGATTAGGCATTTCAGTCAGCTTTGCTCTCAGAATGGAATCTGACCCACCCAGCAAAAGCTGTGAAAGTCTATATTCTTAGCCAGATTATGTGATTCTGTCTCCATAGACTTGTAAGCCACGTTAAGTCACATAGATGATCTTATACTGTTTACACGGCCCTGTTTAAAAGACTCCAGGGTTGATTTCATATAAAGTCCAGAACATCTGGAAAGCCCAGAACATTTTCAGCACAGCAGGGGTCGATATAAACGGTAGGAGAAAGGTGCTGATGCTGCTTGACCTTTAAAGCAGAAACATCTTTGTAGGACAGCAAACTTGGAAGTGTTGACATATTTTCTCATCTGCTCTCATCCTAAACCCCGCTATAGATAATTTTTCTCCTTTTTGCCATCCATTTTCTCCAAAGACTTTCAGTAAAATATTAAGCACTGCTCATGGGACGCTGCCTTGCGGTCACTTTTATACCAAAGGCAGCCTGTTCCTTAGTAACACCTTTGCGAATTCAAGAGTGAAAGCATCCCCTGGGAAGAACTGATCTTTCAGACTCCTCTGGCCCTAAAATTCTATGCTGTTTCCCAGGCGGGACGCAGAAAGCCCATGCTGCCTCGGGTGTACCCTACCCACCTCTAGGGAATTCGGCAGGGATTGGTATTTTCTGTTTCAGATGGGCAACTTAATATACATTGACCCCAAGAAAGAAGTAGTCACCACCAAGTGCTGGAACTCACATTTCTTTCCTGGTTCCTCTTTCCAGTAGGCGCTAATAACAAACGCTGCGCTCTGGCCTGGAAGCCTGATATTTCAACAGACCTTAACTCTTATCTCCACTCTTCTCTCAGACAACTCTCGTAATCTGGGCATTTGTTCCACCTCTAATCCCAAATGTTGAAACTGGCTGGTTACAAGACCCAGGTCATCATTCTGGACCTTTCCTTGCATATCTAGTTTCTTTAATCCCCTTGATTAGCTGTACTTTGTATTCACTTGAGTAGCTGGACTTTGGCTACATCTTCCACACAAGCTAAACGTCGGTCTCAGAAAGTATTTACACAACTAAAACAGCACGGTGGATTCATTCTACATGAATATCTATACTGCACCAGGAAGGCTGGACCTGAGGATCATGCGTGAGTGAACCATACCTCTCCGTTGCTTTTTGCTGTACCAATACTTTTCTATCCTTACTTGGCAATTTTTGCCTAAACAAACTGTAAGTTCACTGAGGGCAAGATCAGGCTTCCAAGCTCTTCAGCGGCTTTTAAGAAACTCTAATTTAATATGATACGTATTTCTTGAAGTGGCTGGCCCCACAAAACAAAAATAAGAATGAGTGTTACTTAGCTTCTGAAATCACAGGTTCTTGCTTTTCTTTTTTTTTTAAAAAAAGGATAGCTAGAGACTAAAAGCTCTACCTCATATTTGTGGCACTGTGAAGCAGTAAAGTTTCTTTGGCAAGAAAATATGCAATCCTTTGCATCTGCTACAAAACATTTTTTTTAACCACTGGTAAAAATACCAAGTCTTACAACTATTAAACCATAAAACGAAGAAAGGAGAAGAATACCATGGCAACTTGGACAATCGTCCCAATGCCCTTCGAGAGCTCTTTCTGCCTGTGGGAACATACCTTTTCCCGTTCTGGCCTGGCATCTTTGCTACATAAGCAAAGCGTATCTTGTAGGGCTTTCCGTATGCCAGCTTTCAGTTTCTCAAAATACTGCACAGACACCCACTTGGAAGAACAAGCTGACAGGATTTCCAAAAGCTGCTTGTCCTCGGAACTGTTCGCATCCTCCTCCGGAGTGTCCCTTAGGAGGAGGCCAAGGGCCATCAGGATGTCCTCCTCATACTGATGGATTTCACGCTGCATCCGCTTGGCTTCCTGCATTGTCCACTCCTTCCGGCTCTGGTCTAGACAGGCTTGTAACTCTGTCTCTTTCTGAAAAAGCAGTTCAGCTTTTTGTTTCAAAAAGTCTTCTTTAGCTGCCGCAAGCACCTCATTAATTTTATTCCGATGATCGTCTAAAAACTGCCGGTAATCCTGCTCGTTTTGTTCTTGAAGTCTGTGGATTTCTTCTTGCTTCTCTTTGTTCCACTCGCTCCGCGCCTTCGCCAGCTCGGCCCTGACGGCCACGGGGAGCTCCTCGCTCTTCAACTCCAGCTCCCTCTGCAGAGATCGGATCTTCTCTTCCAGCTCCTGCCCGGTGCCGGGGATTATATTCTTCGTAATTTCAAGCTCACGTTTCCATTTCTCTTTAGCTTCAGACACGGCAAAAGAGAGCTAAAGGACACAACGACAAACATTTTAGAAGTATGAAGTACTTATGATCGTCCTTGTTGGGACCAAAATCAAACTATTTGGATTACTTGTGAACATAATGAGAGATTTAAAGTCCAACTGAAAGGGGAAAAGTAAACGTAGATATAATATTATTCTATAAAACATAGTACTTATATGCTACATTTACAGAACTTTTCCTTCATTTTAAATTATCTAATAGTTTTACTTATGATATTTTTTTTTTTTTTTTTTTTTTTTGGTTTTTCTCCGGTACCAGGAACCGAACTCACGACCTTGCGCTTGCCAGGCAGGCGCTTTTGCCGCTGAGCTAAATCCCCAGCCCCTTATGATATTTTTTAAAACATCAGTTTCCTGATAGGGGACGAGAAGTTGCAAAGGGCATATAGATCTGATAATTATTTACATGCTTATACATATATATATATCTCCAAAACTGATTTCAGAAAAATATTTCATATTAGTATTTTAAATACAGATGCAGTCCCAAACTTTATCTAAGGCCCTCCACAAATAAAGTGCCTATTGCTTAAAGCAAAAAGCAGTCTCATAGGAAATCTTATTTACTAACTGATAAGTGATGCAATTTTAGGGGCTAGAACAGTTCATTAAATGACCAAATAGAAAAAGTCACTTTTCATTCATCTTGTTTCTGTAACAGAATGACAAGTAGATAAGATCATAGTCCATAATCAAAAAGTAATAGGGTTATCAAAAAATCTGGTCTCTGGCTCTAACCCCAGCACAAGGGCTGAGGAAGATGGCAGGCTCCACTGGAATTCCACGACCACGATGGAACCGTAGCCATCCTTCCACTTCCTGCAGCCCCCGGGCTCTCGTCTACATAACTGAGCATAATTACAATGCTAACTGACACAGGAGATCATCCAACTAAAGTGCTCAACAGAGCCAGAGAATAATGAAGACTCAAACATTACTCAGCCTTTATTACTTCTGGATGTGTAGCCTTGAAAAAGTCACCTAATACCTTTGGCTTTCTCTATCTTCACCCACATAATAAGCAGTCTGGATGACTTAACCTTGAGTCCCTTTTACTTCGAATATTCCTTGACTACGTTCAAAGTCACAAGGACACACAGTGTCAAAAGGCAGAATCGAGCATCTCCACAGTCCTGACCGGCACGGTGGTGACTATGACTGATTAACAAATACGATGCCAAGGCTCGGGATGAGGAGCTGGGACATCTGCTTACCAAATTTTCTACTAAGAAAATGCACCATCTACAGTGAGCTTTACCATGGAATTCCCCACAGCTTCCTTTGCTACCAGCTCATTGATTCTGCCATGACTTAAAACAAGTTTACACAGTGTTTTGACAGAAAACAGCTCACACTGCAGTGGAGGCGCAGCAGTCCCTCCCAGGTGACCTGTGTAGAGTTGCGGTGGTGGATCCCACAGAATTTGGATGACTGGCCCAACCTTACCAGAAGTCCTCATCCTTGGGGCAAGTTGTACAGAATAGGACAGGACTTACCAACTCAATGGTTCTGGAACTTCACTGTACGTTAGAAACACCCGAGGAACACTAGAGAAGTGCTGATGACCAACCCACACCCCATACACTCAATACATGATCTGAGGGTGGGGCCAGGCAACAGGACGTTTTAAGGGTGCTCGCATGGTTCCAATCGGCAACACAGTTTGGGAACCATGGCACCACCAAGTCAACTCCTTCCAAATTCAAGAAACTGGCTTTTCTGCAACACTTTGTAGGTGTGATGAAGCATACAAGACAGGAGTCATTTAGAGCCTTTGTTATACACCAAATATTCTCCAAAATGGGGCTGGGGGTTACACCCTGAAACTGCAGTCCGCTATGTTCTGTGGGCTGAATTCAGAAGGAAAGATTTATACACGAAGCACAAATAGGCACCTCAAGTTTGTTTCAGCTCTTATTTCCCTAGTACAAAGAGGCATGAATGTTCTTCCTTTTTTTTTTTTTTTTGACTATTTAGACTTATGAAGATCACTTGCTTTTTCTTTAGACTTATCCATGGACTCTTATTTGTCTTATAAATTTCTACAAGCTGTTTTTCATGTATTAGTATTAACTTCTCTTAATTTTGCCTTATTAAAAATACAAAAATGTTCTCAATACTTGTTTTAAACCTGTTATTTTATTTTTGCCATTGTGTTCATTGCCTCAAAAATGAGTTGTCTTCATTGAAAGGAACTGTTAACGTGTAACTGTTTGATCAGTCTTACATGCCTGTATCTGGTTATCTGTGCAACCATTTTGAAGATGACATTAGGTAATATAACAACCACTGTTAATATCTTATCACCTTGTTTGGAAATTCTATATCATTTTTATTGTTCTCTGTGCTGTTTTGTTTATGTATTTGTCTTTGTTATTTTGCTTTTTTTCTTTTCTCTTTAAAATGAAAAACAAAATTTACATGTATATAAAAGGATATATCTGGTAATCAGAATGACTGATCTGAAAACAACAATATGCAGTATAAGAACCACTGCTGAACTCCTACCATCTTGTATGGTGAAGCTCTGCATCACTTCTAATGTTTTCTTTTTTATTACTTGTTACCGTCTTTGACTGTTTGATCAATCTTACGTTCTTATGTCTGGCGGACTGAGCAACTCTGTTGAAGACAACAGGGTGTAATGCTAATTCCTGTAATTTTGTTTTGAGGTCATGTATTGTTTTTGTGCTGTTTTGATTCTGTTTTCATTGTTGTTTTGTTAGGGTTTTTATTATTCTTAAAATGAAAAAGAGTTGCCATAAATATCTGAAATATTTCCTTTTAATTTTTCTATGATTTCACACTTATGAATTCTTAACTCCATCAACCTAGCACTTATTGTGATGCATGGGGCGGTAAACATAACTTTTTGAAATTGACACCTTCGCTATCATGAGACTATTTATTACGGAATAATCTCTTATTCTCTTGCTTTAAAACAATTCACTAAGTTTTTATTCATACTGGGGCCTGCCTCTGATGTCTGTATTGCACTGATTTAAAAACAGTTCTACTGCTGTGACTCAACACTGTCGGAGATGTTTGCCAGTACAGTCTGTTAAAGCCGGGCTCTGACCCCTCTTCTAGAACGCCAAAAAAATTCTAGTCTCTTTAGTTTTCCAAATAAATTTAGAATTTTTGTGCCAAATTTTAAAACTATTTTCAGTTTGTTGGCATTTTGGTTAGAATTGCTTTAAACCAGTAAATTACATTGGAAGACGACACAGCCGTGACATCAAAGTCCTCCCTTCAAGGAACACGGTACCTCTGGAAGGCAAAGTGGGCGCTTTACCAAAGAGAACGTGTGGGAAGACTGCCGACACAGCACAGAAAACCTCCACATGTGCGAGCGCACACCGTACAGCTTTTAAACAGATGATCACCTGTTGTCAGTCTCGCCCAAAGGTGGAATGCAAATTAACTTCTAAGTCAGCACTATCTTTCTCCCCATGAGAGTTTTAAGATGCTGAAATACCTACTTCTCCCTTCACATCTTGATGACTGCCAGAACGGACACCACTGGCGAGGTCTTAGCTCATGTTTAACATGCGCTCTCTTAAACAACCCCTCACCAACTCCATGAGCGGGGACAGAGTTCCAGGATGCAGGTGTGGGGTTAGTGTCAACGTGTAGCTTTGGGATCTGCTTGGGGACCGAGGAGCATGCTTCTGAGTGTGTCTGCGTGGGTCGTGGAGGCGTGGCCGTGGGGTCTATCCTGGTCCCTGGCCCCGTCCTCTCTGGCACTGCTCCCCTGTTGCTTCCTAGTCACCACGCACAGAAGAGCCCTGTTCTACCACACCCTTCCACCATGACTCTTCAGACCATGAACTGAACCCTCTGAAACCCTGAGTGAAATGAAACCTGTCCTCTAAATCACAGTTGGGTATCATGTCCCAGTGACACGAAAGCCGGCTGATAAAGGAGGTGAGGAAATGACCTCCTCACGTTCCTCTGCAGGACCATACTCACCCGCTTGGCTACAGAGGCCTCCTGCTGCTCCTCCCACTTCTTCCGCTCGGCTCTCAGGTGTGTTTTGTACTCTGGGAGCTCTGGCAGTTCTTCCAGCCATCGACGGCGAGCATTTTGCACAGCTGTTTCTACCTGCAGGACATCACAAGAGAAGGACGCAGAGGCGGTGTACAGCTTCAGGAAGACTTCATGTTCAAACAGCAGCCACAATTTCCTGTGTATTTTGCAGTGTGTCTCGCAACACTACAACTGTACTGACTTCAAGTACCTCGCCTAATCCCAACAGCAGATTCTAACCCTTCCTCTCAGATACCCCCACACTGACCCATGCAGATGCCAAAACAGGAAATAAGAATCTACACATGTGAGAAACAACACTACCATCTTAGAATCCTTCACACCAAGTATCAATTACCATTTCCAACAAAGATCTACCTATCCTAGGGAGAAGGAGAAGGCACACCAGAGGGCTGCTGGATGCCGGGTGCTGTCCAGTCACTGCCCTGCACACAGACACCATTAAAGTGTACAGTCTCACATATGGCATTTTCCTGTTGTCAGGAATTAGTCTGGACAGCCGGGCATGGAGAAATACACTTGTAACAGCAGAACTCTGGGAAGCTGAGGCAGGAGGATTCCAAATTTGAGCTCAGCCGGAGCAACTCAGTGATTTAATGAACACTTGTCTCAAAATAAAAAGTAAATAAAGGTCTGGGGATGTAGCTCAGTGTTAAGTCCCTGGGTTCAATCACAGTACCACCAAAAAACTTCTACAAATTTTTTAAAAAGTTTGTACAAAAGAATGAGGGGGAAGGCCAGGGATATAGCTCAGTGGCACCAGTGCCTACCTGGCAAACGCAAGGTCCTGAGTTTGATTCCCAGTACAAAAAAAAAAAAATGAGGGAGAGACCTCAATTCAGGGAAAAAATCCTTATTAAGGTGATCTAGCTATAAGATCATTCATTAAATAATTTTCCTTATTCTTTTAAAATATGCATAGATACACACATTTATTCATACATACAAAAGTAGAGTTGATATGAGGCTATATTTCTCACCAAAGTACCAAATATAACCACATGTAAACCCCAGGGAATTAAAAATATGGAGAAAAGATAAAGTTCTTATAGAAATCTATATTCCTTAAAAAAGTTATTTTGAAACATTTCATTTTTGCTATTACATACTATTGTTTTTCTTCACAAGACCTATGATTTCATAAATACCAAAGAAGTACCCTGCTATGCTTTGTGTCTAGATGTCCCCCCAAAGCCTCATGCAGTCATAGGGCTTTTTCGAAGGTGGCTGAATCTAGAGTGGGTGTAAGTGGTGCAGTGCTGGGATTAAGGGTCCTGGGAGTAAGGGCAGGTGATTGCTGGATCAGTTCACTGACTGGACTGACACCACTCAGATCCCGGTAGACTGGATACAATGTGAGGGACAGAAAGAGGCCTGTCTCACACTCTCCTGTTGCTTCTGCTGTCTTCCACCACCATGAACTGATGATGCCCCTCTGCCATGTGCCACCCTGCCTCGGAGCCGGCTGATTATGGACAGAAACCGCCACAAACTGTGAGCTAAATGAACCTTTTCCCCTTTGACTTTGGGTGTTAGGTATTTTGTCTCAGCAATGAGAAAAGTAACTAAGGCACACCCTTAAACATGTCTTTTTCTACAAAGCATTTTCTTAGTAAACGCTGCAGAAAACAATGCTTTAACTGATGAAAGACAGCCCCGATACTACTATATACACAGATATTCCTCATTTAACAACCTGCCTATTTAACGGCTGTCTGGATTCCATGATCTACCACTTGGACTTATGACCTTTTTTTTTTTGGAAAGTTCTGTACATCTTGTTGATAGAGCCTCGATGGCTTTTATTTTATACAGTACACCTTGTTTATACAATACTGCAACTTTTGCTGATTATATTGTACGGAATAACACTGTAGTTTTATGTTCTGTTATACGTCGCAGTACTGCTTGTAAGAGTTATGCAAATAAAAGCAAAGTCATCAAGTTCAAATTTCCTCTGCCCATTTCTTTGTTCTAAATTTTGTAATGTACACACTGTACACACTTCCTCACTCAGCAACCAATTCATTTAATGGCTTAGTTACAGACCGTAGCTCGGCTGTTACATGAGACACCTTTACCTACTGTAGTTCAGGCACATTCACTCGCCATGTTGTACAAATAAACACAGCATTTGCAGAGACAAATACCTTCAAATTAGGTATTATTTCTATAATGTCTGATCCTGGGGAAAAATAAGCTACTTGACACTTTTTGGACACTGAGGCAAAACATGCAACCTCAAATATTTGCCTCAATATACAAAAAAATACATGGCCGCCTCTTTTGATACAGAAGACAGCACAGTCTGACGAGACTTGTTGATCACATGTGATATAGGCAGACCAACTATGCCAAAGACCCAGAAAAATTTATCGGGGCACTCTTTATTGGACTATTTGCTTCCAATAGCTCTTGGGTGATACAAAAACTAATTCATTTGGAGTTAAATAAACTGTCAGATATAAACAAACTCCTCAGAAGTGATGTTACCTTTGAAACTTTTTGATATGTAGAACTGTATCATACCGTACGGGTGCACATATATTTTCAAGGGTGAGATATAGCTAGACAGACAGATCCAAAACACAGGAAATGATCATTCAATTAATTATCACTGTTATTCTTGGCCCTGTGATTGTTCTGTGTTGAATTTTTGCCCTGCGCTCCTGCCAGGTCAGTTTCTTCACTGCACACTTTCTCTGTCTTTCTGTCCTCCATGGTGTTTGCTTCAGAGGAGGACAGAGCAGAGGCTCCATGAAGGCCAGCCTCCCTGTCAAGGGGATTCAGCATTTCCAATGATGTTTACGTAGTCAAGCAGGTTCATGATTCTGTGAATCTTGCTAGTAGTATTTCAGTTTTCCTGGTCCCTCCCAATGGCCTGCAGAAGCTCCCTCATTACTGAGGTGAAACTGCACATTCAAGATACTGCTTCCAGCAGTATCAACCGTGTGATCCTGTAACCTCGAAGAATCTACAGAGGCTGTTAAGATCCAGCAAAGGGTGTAAGAGGAACTATAGGAAGAGATGGCTCTACTGATTTGCTAAAGATTCTATCTAGATTCCATGCTTTGCAATCATGATCATTGATGAGCACTTTCTATATCATTGCCATATCACAAGACTCTTTGTTGCTCTTTTGTTTTGTTTTGTTTTGTTTTTGTTTTCTTGTACGAGGAATCGAACTCAGGACCTTGCACTTGCCAGGCAGGCGCTGTGCTGCTGTGCTATATCACCGGTGGCCATATCATAAGGTATCCTGGTTTTTCTGACTAGTTTTCATCCCTGCCTTGTCTGACATGTGAGGGATCAAAACTGCCTGGACCCAGCTGATGTGATGAATTGTTGGTGGCTGCTGTGTTTTATTTTAAAAGTTACTGGAGAGCTCCTATTCTTAAGAAAAGCAAATCCACTTCACTGAACTAGTTTGATAATATGATGTCTAATTTGTATTTGCCTGTTTCCAGACTTTAAGAATGCCATGGAAAATCATATAGAACAATGTAACAAACAAGCAAAATTTCAAATACTTATCAAAAACTGCATGTTTTCAAAAATGTTATTTCAGGATTATTTAGCAGTTTATAAAATAATAAATATAATAGCTACATCCAGGTTCAGGGATCTCTTTCAGGCTAGAAAGACTGTCAGGTGGGTGGCGTGACGGTCTGGATCCAAAACGGACCCCAAGGCCTCTCATGTCTGGAAGGTGACTGGGTGTATAGCTGTCGGTGACTGGCTGTTAGGTGGGACCTGGCCAGAAGAGGCGGGTCACTGTGGCTGTTGCCCGGAAGTGTTTATCGCACTCCCTGCCCCTCCCTCCTTTGCTTCTGGCCGCCGTGACTCGAGCAGCTGTCCTCCGCCAGGGCCTCCCACCATGCTGTTTCTGCACCGGAGCCAGCCGACCATGGGCTGGCTGGAGTTTCCCAAACCGTAAGCCAAAATAAACCCCTTCTGCTCTACATTGTGGATGCCGGTTATTGTGTCCCAGCAATAAGAAAGTGACTAAGATGGGGGCTGCGAGATCAAAACAATTGGCAGAAGACACTGCCTTTTCTCTCCCTTCTCTCCTATGTGAGCAGCAAAGTTCTCCGGAAGAAACAGTCTACGCTGATGACATGAGTGCTCTGACAGATACCTGAAGGTCTGCCTGCTCTTGTCGTTTGTTTTTTAATTTCTCAGATTTGTTTTCCAATATAGCAAATAGAAGCAGTCCTGACAAAAAGCTCTATACAGCCCCAAGGTTTAAAACTGTAAAGGAGTCCTGAAACTAAAAACACTGAAAACTCGCTGCAGCAGTTAAGACAGATCTAACAGACAGTAACGCACCGTCCTCCGGGACATAGGCTCTCCCTCCCTCAGTGTGTTTCTTGGAAATGAAGTTATTTGCCCCAGTTAAAAGCTGATTGGTGGGGGGTTCCGAGGGAGGGCCAGGCGCTGCTCTGTGGTGACTGATGGGAATTCCAGCCCCAGGCCCCCAGGTTGGGCACACCTGCAGCTCCAGGCACACATGGGCTTCAACACAAAACAGTTCAATATATTCTGCGCTTCTGTTGCCTTACGTGTGTGTAACCACTTTATTTTAGACTATTTTGGGGGCAAGTTACTTTCCGGGCTCCCTTCTGTCCTTCTTAGACAGAAGTTTTCTTAGACAGAATTTCTTCTTAGACAGAATTTCTATAAATTCTTTGTACTCTTTAAAAAAAAAAAATAATAATATTTTCTAAAATATTAGATGTAAAAGACTTATGACTAAATTGTGCTTCTTTCAGACGTCAAGCCATCTTTAACCTCAGGCACCTTAATGCTGAGCTCTCAAAAGGAAAAAAACATTTTTGTTCCCTGGAAGAATGTACAGAAAGCCTGAGGGGTGACAGTTTCAGGACAGAAATATAATGAAGGAAACCTCGGAGACCATGGAACAGGCTTTGCGCTCTAGAAATGCATGACAACTTAAAAGTTCAAGGTTAACAGGCTTCCAGCACCGGCGGTTCTGACCGTGCTGCTGTGATCATACCGATTACCTGTCTGGCAATGTTCTCACAGTACTTGAGCTCCAGGTCGATTTCCAGTTTCTTCAAAGCCCCCCTGACGGCCACCTCCTTCTCGAGCCCTAAGTCCTGCTGCCCCTGGCGCTGCTGCTCCTCTCCCCCCGCTGCCACCTCGGCCTTGGAAACGACACCCAGAGCGGCCGTGTGGTCTGTTTGGCTGCCGCAGTCTGAGGTCTTCTCTCTCGATGACGCCCTCCGAGCCTCGTCCAGCTTCACCTGCCACTCCTCTTCCAGCTGTCGGACGAGTTTCCGTTTGATCTGTTTTCAGAAGAAAAAGCGTCTGAGAAGGAAAGCATTCAAACGAGCACAAACTGGAATTACAGCTAGACAGAAGCGGAAGCACAGCTGTGTCTGAACCCCATCTAGGCGCAGCCGTAGTTGCTGCATGGAGTTTAGAGATTTTGTCCATGAAAATACATTTCCAAGTAAAACTTAAAAGTTACACTTTGTCTTCACAGGGGAAAAAAAATCACGTAGAAGATTTAATGACAATGGGTATGGTCAGCTTCTCCTGCTCCCTGTATTCAGCTTTCTGTACAACAGCTACAAAGACGGCATAGAAAACACTTCTGCTACTAGTACGCATTTTGTTTCTATTTTGCCATCAGTACCACTCCTTCCACAAAGCAGGCACCGAGGAAATCTAAGCACTGAACCTGAAGGTGAATGATCTACACAAGTTTCACTTGACTTGAGCACGTGAGAATCTTATTTGTATGGGGTTAAATTTTACTACACAGTCTGCATTGAAGAGGGACTGGGAACCCATGGCTGGGAACATGTCCTGATGACCGTCCCACTTTCAGCAGTGTAGTGGGGACGATCTAAACACTGGTTCAGGCCAGACGATGAAGTAGCAAAACCAGCTTTCTTTTTTTTTCTCCCTGGATAGCCAGGGCTCTTAAACTGCTTCCCTGGTTACCAGGTTAATACTGATACCACTCTTGTAGACAGCAGAACCTATTTTAAATAGGGTTGAGAATTTTTTTTCATTTCCAAATGAGCATGGAAGATCATACTTTGGTTCTCAACTTTCTAGGGCACCATGAGCATTTTGTAATCTCATTTGCTCCTCAGGCAATGGAAATCAATTCTGTGCTTCTGAGCCTGACTGTGACTTCTAATCTATTGTACGGACTATCTATGGGTTAATTATACGTATTACTCTAGAGTTATCAGAATCATTTTATAATATGAAACGAGACTTACAGTTTCCTTTTGAGGCATCAAAGGAGTGCCCGAAAAATCTGTCATATCCTGAATTTGGATGAAGAGTCAAGAGGGAGTAATCTTAGAAAATAAAACTGGTACAGCAAGCGGTGACAGCCCAGTTCTGAAAGGTGATTGGTGGATGGGCGCCTGCTCATGTACCTGAGAGTTAAGAACCTGTGTGTTCGGGGGCACGGTCTTCCGTAGTTGGCTCTACGTGCTATTAAATACCGCGAGCAGAGAAACGCCATCCCGCACCTCCTTGTGCTCCTTGTCCCAGTGAGCTCTGGCCAGCGTCACTTCCTTTTCAACCCGCTGCTTCGTGTCCATTTCTTGCTCTTCCAGCCATTTGTCTCTTTCTCTCACGAGCGCTTCTTGATACTTTTCTTCAAGTTCCAACTGAAGGCTGCTTATATGTCCTTCTTTTTCTTCCAACAGCTGTCTCTTTAAACAAAATTCAAGTAAATATCTCTGTAAAATACTAACGGTCTCCAAGTTAAAAAAAAAAATTAAACTTGTGCATTGCATAGACAGAAAAAAAAAAAAAAGGCCAAAAACCAAAGAACAGCGCTCTAGCCCCTGAGTACTTGCTAAGCTTGTGCCATAGCTGGGACGAGGCTGCGTGTGCAGAGCGGTCCTCCGCCTCAGCTGCACACACACGGCTCAGAACTGCGGCCAGTGTGCAGGGTTTCGCGTGAGTTTCTTTCCTCCCCTCTTCTTCCTTTTCTGAAGGCACCGAGCTAACGTGTAAGGGCAGGCCTTTGTGCGTCAGAAGTCACCATCCTCCTCGGCACTCAAGACTCCTGACAGCACACCCAGGACCGTCGTTGCCCGACGCAGGGACTCGGCAGCTAGACGCAGTTCCCTCCCTCAGCCTGGCCACCACAAAGGGCGCGGCTCACAGGGGAGCCGCCTGGCAAAGTCCCCGGCCAGCCTGCTCTGGAGCTCAGTGAGATGCTGCCACTGTGTCCCTGGGAGACACTTCCCGAGAAGCCAGCTGCTGCTGTACCACTGCTGCCTCTTCAGGGTATGAGAAGATTAGTCTCTGAGGTGTGACGGAGCCCCATTCTGACCGGCTTAGAGAGACTGCTACGGGATTCTACAAATCCATGTTAAAATAAATAAATAAATAAAAAACCTAGAGAATTCCAAGAGAACGAAGAAATTAAACTTCTACTGCTCTAAATCCATCGGTCCCTTAGTGAAGGCCAGGTACAACTACAAAAATGATAGCAGATGGAGGTCTTAGGGATCCCGATGAGCAGACACACGTATCAAAAGTCTATGCAACTATGTATGATGACAGAAAAGATAAGCTTGACTGCACGATAATTTAAATTTTTGGAAGAAAAATATCAACCTAATTAAAGTTTTTTAGGAGCCAAACAGGAGTTTTAACTTCCTTTCTTGAACTTATACACAAACACTTGTAAGCCAAATTATCAGCCAGGAGCAGCTATTAATTACAACTGAGGTGATCCAATTTCACAGCCAAATCGATTGTTTTAAAACAAACTCCTGAAAAGAACAACCTCTTTGAGAGAACTGCTCTCTTGTTCTTGCCAATTTATATATTTTTCAAAACAGAGCCATAAGAGAGATCTTCGCCCCATTTTCACTTTTAAAACATTACTGGAAGCTAAATTCTCAATTCGAGGTAATTTAGGGCCCCTTTTAACTTTCATACTGCCAACACTAACTGAAACAGCTCCCTTTAGAAGTTCTTTTTCCACTAACTGATACGTAGACATGGCATGTTTTCCCACCATATTAATCTATTAAAAAAAATAAAAACATTCAGTGAACCGAAGCCCTCTACCATTCTTTTTAAGTCTGTGCTACCAATTCCTGTATTTAATATAATTAATTCAAAAACCTCTGCAGGGAACATCTATGTGAGCCTTTAAAGATATTTTCTCATCTAGAGGTAGGTGGCTTTCCAAGCAGGGTCTGCAGCCGGTCCCAAGCGTAAGGGTGCCTCAGCTGGGTGCCTGGGAGGACCCTCACCAGTACAGGGACAGAGAGGAGGAGGATGGGTGACTGGTGACAGTGACTTCACCCCGGTCCCTCCCCGAGAGCAGCCAGAAGAATCTGGAGGGCTTGCGGACCTACTGCTGCCCCTCCAGCTACTCTGAGGGAGGTCATAGAAACACCCTAGCCTGGCCCTCCAAAGCCCCCAGATCACCACCAGTCCTGTCACAAGACAGAGCTACTCCAAGAGGGTCTGAGGAAACTGCCAAGGAACCCTCTGTCTGAGCAGTCAGCAGAGGAGTGACAACGAGGCTCACGGGATCCACCTAGTCACGAGCCAGCCCACGCTTCCTGACTTCCTAGAATGAGTCTACAGGGAACACCATCTGTCCTGCGTCTATGCCGTTTTTAAAATGATTTCCAGCCGGATGTGGTGGTGCACAGCTGTCATTCCAGCACTTGGGAGGCTGAGGCAGGAGGATCGTCATGAGTTGCAGGCCAGCCTGGGCTACATGGTGAGTTCAAGGCCAGCCTGCACTACATGGTGAGACCCTCCCTGTCTCAAAAAAAAAAAAAAAAACAGCAAAAAAATTTAAACAGAAAAAAATTTTAAAATAAGATAAAATGATTTCCATACTCACTGTTATTTTGTGAACTATATTGATTAGGGTGACCCATTGGCCACATTAAGGGACTTCTGTGGACCCCCTTCCCTTCCCTGGACCGAGGGTGGTAGTTTCAATGACAATCCGAGGCCTGAGGAAGGCAATGGTGTAGAAACAGCACAGACTGCGCGGTACCTTCTGCTCCTGGGCCTCCTGCTCCTTCTCGACGGTCTTCCTGAGAGCTGCTTCGAGATTGTCCTTCTCCCTGCACACCTGCAGGTAACACTCCTGCACGGCAACCAGCTCCTTGTTCGTCTTATCCAGGTCAGACCTGGGGTGCACAGAAGCAGCAACTACATGATCCCAAGAGAAACAGGAGGGCCCCCACAATTTCCCTCCATATCACAGACTGGCAGCGAAGCCTCTGCTCTCACCGGAGCTGTGAGGTAGTCCCCTCGTAGGCCTCGAACAGCTGCTGCTTCTCCAAAGTGTGCTTCGCTAACAGGCTCTCTCGGATTTGGGCTTTCATGGCCTCGTGGTGCTGGTGGTAAGTCCGCTCACACCTAGCAACAGAGGATGGCATCTCAGGCCGTGCCTGGCACTAGAAGCAACACTACCACAAACTGGTTTTCTCCCTCCCTTTCTTCCTTCCTTCCTTCCCTCATCCCTTCCCTCTTATGCAAATTATAATTAAGGTCAGATTCCTTTCCCCAACCCGAAATAGTACTAATCCATTCACAACCAATGATTCTATGAGAATCCTCATTTTTTCTTCAGATGTTTCTGGAGAAAAATTAGAAATATGGATGTGAGAATGTTTTATTCTTTCATACAGAGATGGTGGCCTATGTTAAGGACTTCTGTGGATAAAGAAAGCAAGTGAAATAATTGAGTGTGGTTCTAAAATTCCAAGTTATACGCATTCCACACAAATATAATAGTGTCCAACTCACAGGTAAGTAATATCCCAAAAGTCCGTTTCCAAATTTATGATTTGGTATTTAGAAGACATACTCCCTCCCACAGACCTCTTCTTTATAAAGAACAGTTTCTCAAACTAGCCTTTAAAAAAAAAAATCTAAGATGTAGTATCTCAGTGAATCAGTCTCGACGGTGCTGTAGAACCCAGACTACTACATAATATTGTTTCTATGGAAAATGTGTTCCAAAGTCTAACTTGAGAAGCCAGGGACTTATCTCTGCCAACCTAAGATCTCAACAGGGAGAGTTCACTCCATCCTTCATTTTTTAAAAAACTTCTCGGTGGGGGGTCTTGAAAGGGGAGGGGGACCCAGGGACAGGCACTAGATATCTATAGAGACCTCACCTATCCACAACTTCCTGTTTATCACGGTCAAAATCCTGTACCATTTGTCTCATTTGATTACATAAATCCTGATTTGTATTTCTCAGCTTTTCTTCGGCTTCCTTAAGTTCCTAGACACGAAAGAATATTTAGAGGACATAAACATTTTCACTGATTAATCTTAACACCCTTATGCGCTCTGGCTTGTGACTTTATTTATCATAATCTCATTTTTTATAATTCTACAAAAGAAAAACCTCTCGTGCCTTGACAAGTAGCTTTCTCACAGGAGCAAAAGTTAAAATTTTGTATTTATTTTGAAATATATAGGGAATGAAAACATTTAACCAGAGAAGTATTGGCTAACTGATACCTTAAGATAACTGCTCAGTATCGTGAGCTTTAGTACCCGTTAAGCAAGATTTTACTTGTCAGTCAAGGGCTGGCCAAGGGGGTGCAGAAAGGAAACAGCTCCCAATGGGACCACTACCCAGAAGCGTAGGGTAAGAAGACACAACTGGATCCAGTACCTGCCTACTGATCTACTTGTCCACTAACTCACGCTGCCCTCCTATCTTTGAAAAGTCTAACAAATCCTTTCTATTTAATAAGTTCATGACAAAATACAAGACACTCTTTAGTTACCTGATTTTGTTGTTGCAAAACTTGAATTTCATTTCTAAGTTGTAGAGCATCACCTTGGGCGATGCCATCGGAGGAAGAAGAGTCTGGCCATAATGGAGTCATGGGTTTTTCTGAGGTGCCGATTTTCACCTGAATGTTAAGAAGAAGTCAAAAATGTTTTCTACCTTAAAAAAAAAAAATTCTGAGTATTTATCCTGAAATAGTTTCAGAAAGAACTGCAAAACTGTACAGATGACTTGCACCTGCCTTTCCCTCATCTTTCCCAAACAGAACACAAACCCAGGAATAGATCAAAACCAGGAAACTAACGTGGATGTCACTGCCAACCATTTACAGACTTTATGTAAGTGCCTCCAGTTCTCCTCTACTGTCCTTTATCTTGGCCCGAGGTCAAATCTATGATTCCTCTCTGTGTTGTCAGGTCTCACGAGCCTCCTCCAATCTAAGACAGTTCTTCAGTTTTCGTCTTCCAAACCCGGGACAATCCTGTGTAGCACACCCCTCGGTTTGTGTTTTCCGAGGTTAACTTCTTTATGTAACTGCAGGTTACGCATCTTTAGCGTGAATGTGGTACCTAGAAGTGATGAAAGCCAGAGGCCCGGAGTAGCAGCAGCTCCTCACTGCTGAGGACCACGGTGGAAGGCGGCCCCTCCCAGGCAGCTCCGTTGTAAACCTGCCACCTTCTGCTTGCACATTAGTGAGCGTCTTCTGAAACGATGCCTTGAGACTAGGCAAATATCCTATTTCTTGTCAGACTTTCACCCACTGAGATCAGCATTTATTCTATTTCTGAATGTGTTCTTTATGCCGGTATTACTCATGGAGATATACTTTATTCAGTAGGGACATTCTTTAAAGACTCATGATAGACTTCGGCAGTTTTCTAGAAAGGTCGAGGTCACCTAGATATATCCTACGGAGTGGGCACAAGTCTGCTCAAATCTCTTCCCTTCCCACGCCAACAAGGATCTTGAAGTAATCCTTGTATTACAGGGCAAAGGGCGTCTAACAGCCACTGTCATTCTCATTTCCTGTTCTTTCACCAGAGTGGAACCCCTGACGCACCTCATCCGTGTTTCTCATCTTCCCAGATTTGTCTGTGTGTATAACTGCACACTTTCCTCTTACTGACTACTCTCCTTGTCTATTGTTACAAATGCTTTCTTCACAGGGGGTGGGGGGGGAGGCACTCACAAAGATTTCTAAGACACATCTGTCCTCTGACACCTTGTTGGTTTGTGTATGTATTACCAAATACATACAATGTTTTTAAAATCTCCTGCTCCTTCACCTTGCTGGGAGGATGCAAACATGTGCGTACCATTGCCACGCGCAGACAGGACAGCGAGGCTTTCTGAGAGCCACGTGGAACCTTCCTCCAAGTGGGACCACTCTGGTTGTTGGTCCTCCCTTCTCACTCGCCACCCTCCCCAGTCAGAAGGAGCGAAGGCCAAGAACACCTGCTCGGCTCACTTTCAAGGTTCTGTTAGACTTTGAAGGATTTTACTTACGCACTAGAATGGTTTTCTTTTTTTTCTTTTTTTAAACTTGGCCTCTGTTTTTAAAAGTTCATGATATTCATTTATGCTTCAAGTTTTTATTACTAATAATCAAAGTAGCATGAACCGATATACTGAAAACCTCTTTGCATGGTAAGGTTTTACCTAGTTCTGACACACATCACCCCGCAGACATACAAGGGCAAGGCACTGGTACCTGTCGGGATGACATCTTCAAGAAGAAAAGGATCACTTAAACGTCTTCCCAAAGGTAGACTCTCAAACACACTGTCTTCAAGAAATCAAGAAATATAACATGCCAACTCTGTGTCTGAAGGGATTCTAGCCAGAAGTTGGCTGAGCCGGTCACCGAACACGGCCTACCAAGTACTTCTGGAATCGGAGCATAGCTTTAAACACAACTTGAAGTAAGGTAAAGATTTTCACTGAGGATCAGACTCAAAAGCCTCTGTTTTATTTATCATGTTCACAAGACATTCAGTACAGATATGGGCCCCGACTATTGCTAAGCCAGTCTGGTTTTCCTAAGGCCTTTGCCACATTCTATCACAAGTGAGTCACTTGCAGTGAATGGCCTAATATTTGACCTACTCCTAGTTACTGTCTCGTGCTACGTATGGGCAGTCTTCTAGTTTTCCTCAATATTATCCTGGAAATGTCATAGAACAGTACATCCACGTTTTGTACAGAAGCAGTTTTATTACTATAGATAAGATTCCTGAACAAGCTTGTAATAATCCGGCTTGAAATAAACCACTGCTATGAAATCATGCCATGAAAGCAAAAACCATAACCCCCTGCAATAACTCTAAAAGGTTTTATGCTAAGATGGATATAACTGGATATAAAATGTACTCCAAAGTATGCATGAAGCAGTAAGTATAACTAACTGTATGATTAAAGTGTTCACACAAGAAACATGCCAAATGTCTACATAGCAAGCAGTCCCGCTGGCCTTCTTAATAGGTACTCATACTTAGAAATACGGCAGCGAGAAACTGATAGCCAGTTCTCTTTAAAAAGATATCCAGAGATGTTTAGATGGATGCTCTTTCTCTCTCATTCCCTGCAGAACGCAGAGGTTCGCTATCATTTCATTAACCCCAGGATCTGATGACCTCTGTGATCATTCTTTACGAAAACAGACATGAGAGGTGCAAATCTTTTCAGCCTCAATAATGATTCGAAAACGGTAGCACCTGTGTAACACAAGCTTGTGTCCACATGCCCCACCCGCTGGTCACACCAGCTTATGTGCGAGGTCCTTTTAAATAGCTCTCTTCAATGATAGACAGCCTTTCCCACCTTCTCGTCTAGATCTGCCCTTCAGGACCAAGATCAAATATCCTCTCTGCAAAGATTCCACTAAGCCCATCTTATCGCCCTACCTTATCCCAAGCCTCATTAGTGATTCCTTCTCACAGCACTTTCTTCAAATTGTGTAGCATCCTTCCTATACCAGGGTACAGGTACCCGTTCCCTTGTGATCTGTAACACTACATGTGACAGCTTACTGACCCTGTGAGACCCTGAACACATGATTATCAACCTGGCTTCGCATCACAAGATGTTCCCCAACCACAGCGTTCTGAGCACTTTAAAGGAGGTGGGGCTAAGCTACAAAGTTTGCTAGATTGGGTGTAGTAAAGGCATTCGTAACTTGTCCTATTTTGAACTTATGATGAATTTTTGGGACATACTCCATCGCAAGTCCAGGAGCATCTAGGCTGGGCTACATGAAGCGCGTAATTAAAATTAATTACACATATTACTTTACCTTATTAGGTCTACTAAAAGGACTTCTACGTTAGTGTGTGGCTACATTGTATTTCTATTGAATATCACTGTTCAGGTTCTAGGTTTCTTCAAGGAATGGCCACTGTTTCATTACTGAATCGCACAAGACCTCACACAGACTCACTTTTAAATAAATAAATAGCAAGGATCTGCTCTTCAGATTATATATCACCCAATACCTCCAAAACATGTGTTCTCATTTTATTTCCAGGCAAATTAGAAGTTCTGTGAGAAAAGATGCAGGAGGCAAAGCACGCTGTGAAGGTGCTCCTGGGCTGGCTAGATGACTATGGACTTGGGTATTTGAAAAAGAAACCCCCCCTCGCTGGTTAAGTGACAACTTCCTTTCCCATTCTGCCACTAAGAAAAAGGTGCACGTATTCAACAAATAGGAGCAAATCTGCAGAGTTACCCAGGCAATATCCCTAGGAAATCACCACATAGTACACTGATAGAACAGACATAAGCAGAGAAAGGACTGGAGAAAGAAAAAAAAATCAGAGCTTAGAGGCGGACTACTGAGAAATCACCATGGCAAAAGGGTAGCAGGACAAAAAGTGTACTTAAAACTGAGAGAGCTCCCTCTAAGCTACCAGTCCGCCCAACTCAGAGGCAACAGGAAGGGCTGGAGAAGACCCCCAAGGCAGAGCCACCATCGACAGCCACACGCGGGGCGTGTTTCCGCAGCAGGTACCACTAGTGACTCCAACATGGGACAAAGGCGTGGGCACCGTAGGCCGCAGTCAAGGTCCACACTTCAAAGCAGGGTCCTGCTCTGCACCTCAGGACACGCTCACTAAGATGCCTCAGTCAATGAAATCCAGCCTCCTACCACACACTGAGACACACACTTTCATTCCCACCCTTTCAAAGAGAAGCACACGGTCACAATTAAAATACATTGATTTAAAGATGTTAAATGTGCGGGAGAGCGTCCTGTTAACACTAAAAGCAATGTTAAAGTTATCAAATCCATTTACTGAGAACAGGAAACCAGACCGGGCAGGATTTTGACAGTAAAAATACACTATTATTTCTGGAAAAGAAATTAGCTACACTTAAAATTCCACAATAATTAACACCATAGAACACTTTACATACTTTGACTTAGGAATTTTTAATGAATACAACTCCTCGTTTAAAGGATCAAGAAATAAAACAGTTCTAAAGTAGGAAGCAAAAAATTATTTCTCTCCAGGATTAAAAGGAGTCTACTACTGCGTTAGCCAGCTTTCCGTTGCTGGGGCAAAATACCTGACACACATAGCTTACAGGAAGAGAGGGTCGCTTTGGCTTGTGGCTTCCAAAGTTTCGGTCCATGGTCAGCTGGTTCCAAGGCAGAGACTCAGGGCAAAGGCAGCCAGGAAGCAGTAGAGGAGTAGATCAGCCAAAGGGGAAGGGGCTGGGGACAAGATGCATCCTTCAGCGCATACCCCCCGTGATCTCTGTCCTTCAACTGGGCCCCATCTTCAGCTCTGAATTCACAGTCTCGGTCAGCACCCCCATCGTTACCTCTCTAGGTCCCAGCTCTGAACACGGCTGCACCAGGTCAAGCCCTCAACACATGAGTCTTTGGGGGACACTTCACATCTTAACCATAAAAACTACCTGCATTCCCCGTCCTCCCCTTTCTTTTTCCTTTTCTTATGACCAGGTCTTTATGAACTTTCTCTCCAGAGTATAGATAGTGAGAATATGTACAATAAAGGTGGAAAAGGCACTATTAAAGGAAGATCCCTGTGACAGCATGACCTTCAGGAAATAACTGCGACGTGCTTCAGCTCTGATTTGCCCAAGACTGACTGCAGCTCAGAAGGAGCACAAACTCCTCTAGCTTCCCTTTCCTCATCTACCAAGTAAAGCTACCGACAGAACAATATGGAGGCAGATTCCAAGGACTGACACAGCCTGATTCTGGGTCTCCTTCATCTGTTCTTCCGGAACTATGTAACTAATGTCCTTGTACAGAATGAGTTCTGTTATTAGAATGTAGGCCAGGGAAATCTCATAGACAAAATTCTACAGGATCTCCTTGCACAGGATTTCTTTTCATCAGGTTTTAAAGTATTGCTGGTATAAGACAACCCTGAAGAAATACAGAAACCCTGTCCTACAACACGCTTCCGGGTATCTGTGGTAAAGGAATTTTACTTAACATCTCATTTACTAGGTCCTGAGAGGACACAGAAAACATACCTCTTTAAGGAGCATTTATTCCCTTAAACTTTCCTTCTGAAGGAGTCAAAAAAAACCCTTGACAACCAAAGGTGTAACTTCAATACATGAAGTATAAAATCTCTTTTACTACATCTTTTTAAAATGGCTTTTTCTCTCTACAGCTATACACACCTCTAGCTCCATGCTCCTGCCATCCGTCTTCGCTTGCTGGAGATCCTCAATGTTCTGGCGACAGGCTCTGAGGTCACTCTGTAACTGAGACACCAGGTGACGCTTTGCCGAGTTGCTGTCCAGCAAACGTTGCACATCTGCCTTCAGCCTCAGGATGACCTCGTCCTTCGAAAGGTCCTCATTCGGGTCTTCCTGCTGCACAGCGCTGGTAGGGAAATTGTGCTAGTAAGAACTAAATCAGTAACACAACATGTTTTGTCACCTATACAAGTACATATGCACATTTCAAAACAACTTCAAATTTTGACACACACACACAAACACACACGCACACACACAAGGGTATCACCTTTGCTGTATCCCTATGCACAAGAAACTAAGCTCACTCATGGAAAGATGAGTCTCAAGCTTAGCCTTGCTGTGAACTCTGACGTGGCTTACAGTTGTGATGTTGTACACTGCATGTGTTTATTCATACTCCAGCAGAAATAACATGTGGATTGAGGAGGAAAAGAATACTAAATGCTAGCCATCACAAAACGGAGCTAGAGAGAGAGAGAGAGAGACAGAGACCAGCAGGGTAAGAATAGGGCTAGGAATATGAGTCATGACAGGAATAGCTCCTATGTTACATGGTATGTCAATCACTGATTTAGTCCCTGCTTAACTGCTGCCCTGAATCCGACCTAACAAACAAAGCCTATAAAGAAAGCCTTGGATTGCATGGATTCCAAGTAACTTAAATGTGTCACAGAAAAAGTCCAAGTACATTTTCAGAAACAGTAAAATCCAGCATCCAAAGCACACGATTCAAAATGTCTAACATGCAATCAAAATTCCCCAGGCATACAAAGAAGCAGGAAAGAAGAAAACATGAATAATAATCAGGAGAAAAATCAATCAATAGAGACTGACCCAGCAATAACACACGTAATAAGACTAATCAAATGTATTCCATAAGATGAGCAGAGAAACGAAGACATAAAAGATACCAAGGGCTGGGACTGGGGGTGTAGCTCAGTGGCAGGGTGCTCATCCAGCCTAAAAGAAAACCCCAGGTTTGAGTTCTAGCACCACCACCACCACCACCCACAAAAACAAAAAACCCAACCCAAATTGAACTTAAGGAGACACAAAAAGTTATAATGTCTAAAGTGAAAAACATACTGGATGAAGTTAACAGCATATGAAGGTGAAATGACCAATGAACATAAAATATATAAATAATACTACACAATTAAACACAGAAAGCCTGAAACAGAAATACTCCCAGCACATTAAGTTTTCTGACATGTATCATTGAAGTTCCAGAAGAGCAGAGGAGAAGGAGAAAGAATATTTGAAAAAATATGGCCAATATTTCCCTAATTTAATGAAAATAAAACTCCCATAAAACCTAGACATCCAATGTGTCTCAAGCAGAAGAAACATAAAGAAAACGGCTGTCAAATTCCCCAACTAACCCTCACACCACTATGCACAAGATGCCAGACCTGAAGCTCTGGACTTTAACATCCACCCAGCTGGGCTCTGATGCTGCTTAGGGCTTAATACTCCTTTCCACTTGACTATTTCTCCCTCCTGAAACAGGAATGTTTATTCTATCCTCATCTCATCACTGTAGCTTGGAAGTATATAACATGTTTTTATTGTTTTATCATACCAGGAAGCAACATAAGAATCTATGAACAACTGAATGGAAAATAAATACTCATTTAAAATAAAGAGACATGCATACATAAAAAAGAATGAGTGACAGCTACATGCTACAAACACAATGTTGAGTGAAAAAAGATAATCTAAAGAACACTCATACCTATGAAAAACCCTACAGCTAACATTCACCCTAAAGGACAATGAAAGACAATGACTAAGCATTTCCCGCTAAGATCCAGACCAACGGAAGAATCTCTGCTCTTGCCACTTTTATTCCATGGTGTTATAGGGGGTCTAACCAGAAGGATTGTCAAAAAAGGAAAAGGCATTCGGATTAAAAAGAAGCAACATTATCTCTTTTGTTCAGATGACACGGACTTGAATACAAAAAATCCTGAGGTGTCTACTAGAAAACTATTTGAACTAATAAACCACTTCAGCAATGTGACAGTATAAAAGATCAACATACCAAAAGATCAACTGTATTTCATCTAATATTAATAAGCCAACCAAAAATAACAAAGACGAGTAACAAAGTAACTCCTTTATAAAGTAACTAACAAAGTAACAAAGTAACTCTGCAAAAGTAACAAAAAGGATACAAAACGTAGAATAAATTTAATAAAAGTATGACTTGACTAAAAATTGTAACATATTAAGGAAAGAAATTAAAGATATAACTTTTTTAAACTCCATGTTCAAAGATCAAAAGACAATATTGCTAAATAGCAATAACATCCATCAAATTCAGTACAACATCCAAAATCCCAGCTCACTTCTTTACAGAAACTGGCAAACTGATACTAAAATTCACAGAGGAGGGGCTGGGAATTTAGCTCAGCGGCATAGCACCTGCCTGGCAAGTGCAAGGTCGTGAGTTCAATTTCTGGTACCGGAGAAAAAAAAAAAAAAAAAAAAAAAAATTCACAGAGGAATGGGAGAAATCCAGAAAGCCAAAGCAATCTTGAAAACAAACACATTTGCAGGACTTACACTTTCTAGTGTTTTTTTTTTTTTTTTACTACAAAGTCATAGCAAGATGGTACAGTACTGGCATAAGAACACACACAGAGATCAATGGGATACACTGAGAACCCAGAAAATAAACCCTTACTTACAGTCAACTGATTCTCAGTAAGAGCGTCAAAACGATTAATATGAAATTGTCTTTTCAACAAGTGCTGCCGGGACAACTGGATATCCCCATGCAAAAGACTGAAGTTAGATCCCTACCTCACACCATACACAAAATAAATACCAAGACTAACATAGGAGATAAAACTCTTAGAATAAAACATAGATATAAATCATGAGACCCTTGGACTAGAGAATGATTTCTTATATCTGTACCAAAAGCACAAGCAACCAAAGGAAATGAAATCTGTAACTTGGACTTCATAAAATTAAGGGCTGTAGGGGTCAAAAGGCTCGCATCAAGAAAGTAAAACAAGGGAGGGCAGAACAGGAGAAAATATTTGCTAATCATATACCTGACAAGGGAACTGTGTTCAGCGTAGATGAAGGAGGTGACCAAGAGAAGGAGGGAGAGGAAGGGGACATAAAAAAGAACTGAGACGTGTTATGTGTATGTGCCAAGTCCCCACAATAAGTGTAATCACTATGTGCTACAAACATTGACTAATAAAAATACATTTTTTCGGCAAAGCGCCTGCCTGGCAAGCGCAAGGTCGTGAGTTTGGTTCCCGGTACCAGAGAAAAACCAAAAAAAAAAAAAAAAAATACATTTTTTAAAAACTGAAAAACTGGCTAAAAAGAATTCTTAATACTAAACAAATAATCCAATTGTAAAACAGACAAAAATTTGTAAAACAGACCAAATAAGATACATAAATGGCCAAAAGTGATTAAGAGACCACATCATTAGCAAATCAAAATCATAATAAGATACCATTTCACACCCACTAGGAGTGAAAATAAGTGTTGGCAAAAACATGGTGATCTGAACTCTCATACATTGCTGGTGGGAATGTAATATGGTGAAGACACCTTAGAAAACAATTTGATATTTCCTCAACATGATAAACAGAGTTGCCATGACTTAGTATATATATATATATATGAATGAAATTATTATCAGGCTACAAAATGATGCGCTAATACACAACACAACATGGACGAACCTTGAAAATATTACCAAAGTAAAAGAAGTCAATCACAGAAGACCATGTAATACCACTGTGTGAAATGGACACAGTAGGCAAATCCATAGAGACAGGGGTAGGCTGGGGTTACCTGGAGCTGTGAGGCAAGAAGAAGTAACAGGGAATGACCAGCAATCGGTATGGGGCTTGGGGTCTGTTTTGGTTCTGGGCTTGTTTTTGTTTTTTTTTTTTTTTTTTGGCTGTTGTGACAGTGGTTATACAGCTCTCTGAACACACTAAAACCACTGAACTGTACACTTAAACTGCATGACTTTTACGGTATGCGAAATATACTTCAATAAAGTTAGCCCAAGAACAAGAAAATATAAAACACCTGCTATATGAATTATTTTAATATGAGGACAAACCTAAATCTCTAGGTACGAATAATTAAGTATCAAAAGCATAAGAAAAAGCAAGAGAATGGATGCCAGGACGGCTTAGAAAGCACTTACCTCCAGGCTAGGAATGGAAAGAGGGATACGGCAGCTACAGGCAATGCTCATTTCTCGACCCAGGAGTGATCTCCGGAGTACTCCCCTTCTAGCAACCCATGAAATTCTACACTTACGTTCATGTGCTTGTCTTTATGTGTTATAGTTCACAATCTTAAGCATAAAACTATATACAAAAAGCACTAGAAAGAAATCATCTTTTTAAACAGCCTGAAATCATAAAGGCACAGACTGACAGATCTAACAACCCAGGACATAAAACTCTATACTGGAAGAGTAACCATGAAACAACGGCCAGGGTGCAGAAAAATGGGTCCTGCCCTGTGGCACGGGCAGTGCTGCAGACTGTAGGGTTCCCTGGCAACACCCACCCACACCCTCAACTGCTGCACACCCTTCCTAGGGAAGCAAAAAGATGGAGCACCTCACCTCTAGGTGAGAGCCTCACCACGTGGATGCTCAGAGTGATGGTACTGCATTACTTAGAGTACAAGTTTATAACAACTTTGTCTTACTAAAATATTTATATATCCATTAAAAATTAAGTTTACAGTATTTACTGGCATTAAAAGATTTCACTGTACCGCATTAAAAGACATCGTAAAACAGGACATTTGTTATTATTTATCTTTTAGAAGCATACAAAGCAGATAATGGGGGAATTATAGACCAAAATGTTACCAGTGGCTTTCTTTATGTGAGATAAGATCACAGATGATTTTTACTTTCTTCTCTATGGTTCATCTATATTTCTAAATTTTCCACAATGGAAAAGGAAGTTTTGAAAATAAATAATTGGTAGTATGCACCTTTGATATGATGTCATAAAAATGGAATCTTATCTCTGTGGTCTTTTTGCACAAAACCCATGAAAAAATATAATCATGAGAAAAACATCAAATTCTAATACGGGGCTTGCTGTAAAATACTTGAATAATATTCTTCAAAACCATGAAGGTCATCAAAATGAAGGGAAGGCAAAAAGGACCTACGGAAACATGACTTCTAAATGAAATGTGGTCTCCTGGGTGGGATTTTGGACAGAAAATAGGGACATTACAAAAAAGCTAGGCAAATCTGAACAAACGACGGACATTAAGTAAAAACTACAGAAATCTGAATAAACTATGGACACCAGTCAGTACTGCTCATGAATGGAAACAAACAAACTGTAATAATGTAAGATATTAGTAAGGAAAAATGGCGGCTATGTATATAGGAACTGTCCATCTGATACACGTTTCTGTAAATCTAAACTTTCCTAAAAAAATTTAAACAAAAAAATAAGAGTATCTGAGTTAAATTTTTTTCAATTCTTCACTTTCAGATAATTCCAAACAAAATATTAGAATAGACAGAAAGAGAAGGAACAAAAAATTATGTAGATTTTTTTAAGACACATTTTTAAAAGATGTTATGGGTAAGTACCCAAGCATGGGTAACTTTTGTATATGTATTGTGTAAGTACATCTGTATATCTAAAATTCACCTATTTAAACCACTTCTTTATATATATAAGATATATATAAGAAATAAAATGCACAACAGATTACATTTTCATCTTCCTGGGGTATACAACAGGATGAATGCTAAGCTGAGCCCTTATTTTACTCAGCTAACGTATTATGCCTCCCTAATTTCTTTTCTGCCTGAAGGCTGACCACTGAAATAGCACATCCTGTACTCCCACAGGGAGCCAAGTGAGCAGAGAAAGTGCTTGCTAAAATAACTTTCTCCCCCCCCCCGCCCCCCGCACAAGGGCAAGGCATTGTGGTGACCAATCCCGTGGAAGACTCACGGCTAAGCCCTATGGAAGCTGGTTCCCCAAAATCCAAATAAACTGTGGTCCCGCACGAAGCCTGCTGAGAAGACCAAAGGGAAAAGGCATCCCACTTGTTAAATGTTTATTATTGGAGCTTAGCAGCCAACTATAATAAGGGCGAGAGGAAGCTGTCTGAGAGCTGCATGCAGATTTAGCTACTCAAATTCCAGGGATGTAAAATACAACACTGAGGCTAAGCCCTTAAAATTTACTAGGCAGTAGCTTAAGAGAGGTGGTAGCCAGGGCTAAATGCTGGGAGCCGCTAATATTTAGGTCAGTGATTTGAAAGCCGCTCAAGTCAACAAGAGCTAAACTTCTCAACACCGGGAAAACTGCGGCTTCCTCTCACTCATGGCCGTCAGAGGAGAGGTACAAAGCTCTTCTCTCCTGCATCGTTTCTACTGAATCTGAGGATAGAGGTTTTGCATTTTCTCAGAGCCACGTTATCATCTGTTAAACTGCTGGGTGGGAGGAGGAGAAGGTGTTTTCGCCCCTTAGCCTGCATTTCCCTGGATGTCTCCTCGCTGGGCCTCCAGGCCCAAAGGCTCTGCTTCAGCTACGCTCAGCCTGCCCTGCTGGACATGCCCACTGCCAACTTTACTAGCAAAAGGGTTTGATTCTCAGTGTATGATCCACAGGCAAATGCTTCAAAATTACTATAAGTGCAAAACAAACAGAAAGTTCAAAAGCAGCAAAATACATTTGGGAGGACATCATGCTATACATGTATTTGTTAGCCAGCTCCCAGGCCAATTATGGCACAAAATAAAGTAAAACAAATTGTCAAAAAATTCTTTTTTGGCATGAACTGTATCTCTGATCTCAAAACTAAAAGATGTAAAGAACAAGCTTTCAGGGAAAAAGGTTTGACTGTCATGTAACTATGAACACACAGAAAACGGGGCTTGGCTCTGGAGTTGGGTTTGAATCCCAGTTCTGCTGAGAGCCAGTTTTCCCAACCTTTACATTTGGAACCAACATTTGCCACACGATTGAGGATCAAAAGTTTTCAACTGGGATTCGAACCCAACTCCAGAGCCAAGCCCCGTTTTTTGTCTTTTTGAGACAGGGTCTCATGCTATGCAGCTCATGCTGACCTTGAGCTCACTTTGTAGCCCAGGCTGGTCTCAAACTCACAACGATCCTCCTGCCTCAGTCTCCCGAATGCCAGGATTACAGGTGTGCGCCACGCCAGGCCAATGGCATATTTTAAACAACCACCTATTATATAACAAGTGATATCTTTTTAAGTGCCTAATATGTGCTAGAACATGGCACATGAGGCACTTACATTATCTATTTTAATCTTTACCTTATAACCTCCAAGTGGTATCAAGCCTCAGAAGGAAACAGGCTCAGAAGGGGCAAGAAACTTGCCCAAAGTCATAAAGCCAGTGAGAAATGGAAAAGCTACAGTTTAAAACAGTCCCTAAACCCATGCTTTCTCACAGGCCCCTTAGAATTTATCTAGCATTGACAGGAAATAAGACATTCATGGCAGTGAGTTTTCCAGATGATCACATTTAACTTTAAAATTTTACGTAAATCTGTCTTTAAAATGTGAAACACACCTCCTCTTTTGCTTTAGCTATCTCAGGCTTCTTCCACAACTTGGGATCAGAACTGCACATTGTGCCGTGGACCAATGTGTAAGGCTACCTGCCCTGCCATGTGGCAACTCCAGCCCCGGGTGTTCATGGTCTCTCCTTGCTAAGGTGCAGCTGTCTGACCTGGGCACAGGTAGAATCTCGCCTGCCCCATGCCCTAGCTCCACTGCAGCCAGCTGCGAAACAAGATCACGCAGGTGTGTGTGTGTGTGTGTGTGTGTGTGTGCACGTGCACACACACACACAAATGAACCTAAGTCATTATGGCCCTAACATAAGAGCTTCAAGGGGGCTGCCATTAAAAACATCCCAAGCTAGTCCTGCTGTTTTCCTCTCTGCTCCCTTCTCATGTGTAGCTGTGATCTGCAGAGATGAGTCCCTGCAGACAGACTGCCAGATCAGTGGACCTCAGTAAACTGCACAGTAGCAACTTCTTTCACAAAACCACCTGAGAACTTCAGATTTACTGAATTTCATCTTACAGTTCTAAAACACAGAATACAGTATTAAAACACATACCCTCTAAAGCCTATTGTAGAGCAAACTCTTCAGGAGATTTATATGTCTGTATTTAGTTGCTTAACACCTGAAACACAATATGCATTAAACACTGTCACTGAACAATAACGTAATAATGTTTTGTAAACTCAGATCTAATCTACAAATCAGATAGTGTGATGAAGGCCAAGGCACTTAAGAAACACTTTCCTTAGCTTAAATGAAATCTTTTCCTAATATCCCATTTCTGGTCCCTAAACCAAACCGAGGCAGGAGATTAGGGCATGGCCAGACAGCTGGCAGGTGGGTGGGACCCGTCAATCACGGAGATTCAGGGCACATGTGACCAAGCCGTGCACCTGGGACCAATCAGAAAATTCTGGCATGAGACTAAACAGGTTTTTGACAGGATGGCCTAGATATGACATGGGCATGGAGGACACAAAACAGAGTGGCCATTAACTTTGCTGCCAGTGTGCTGTCTCTCTTCAGTGGCCCACTCTCACTCTACACGGCGTACTTCTTTTCCTACCTTTAATGAAAGTGAAACCTCGCCATCTTTGTTCAGGACAACAAGAACCTGGAGAGAATCTCCAGAGGGAGGCCATTGCAGCCCAGACCCCAGTAACAAAACCAGGAGAGAAAAAGGGGAAATCTGACTTTGCACATCAAGTGTTCACACTGAGCAGTATCCGGCTGCTTAGAGGTAACCCGGCTCCTTTCTCCCTGGCCAGACAAATGTGCATTCTGAGGGGGGAGGACAGCTTCTGCGCCATTTTTTTGTACTGTATTCCCAGAGCTTGGCACAGATCTTCCACACAGCATTTCCAAAGTCTGAGAGGATGAAAGAAGGCTCATCTGTTCACTCCTTCATCCTTTAAGTGTCTAATACTCCCTCTTCAACCACCACCACTCCCTCCCTGCCACACCCGGGAGGGTTGAAGCAGCAGTCCGTTCCATGAGCTTGCTCAGGAATCTGTATTAAGCAGTAGTATAAAGACAGAATCTCCACTTTATGAGCATTCTATCTCTATTTCATAACCTAACCTCATGGTAAGGGAAAAAAAGGAAAGGAAACAACGATGTTTATTTGCTCACATACCTTCGATCAATAAATGCAAGCTGTCTGGTTTGAATACACAGTGTTAACACAAAAAAAGTATGTCCCCACCTCAATAGTGAGAACAGATGCAAATCACAGCCAGAATTTCCTTTGTGTACTTTAACGACATTGACTACCTTTTACCTTTGTGGAGCTGAGGTATCTTTTGGAGTATTGACAACAGAACAGCATCAATATCTCAGGTTTCTGTGCACTTTGATTTCAGACACTGATGCATTAGTAAAAGTTTCTGAAACCACGCTGCTCCACATCCAAGGCTCCCTAGTCCTCATTCTTCCACGCCTGGTGCCACCTGTTTACCATATAACACCAGCCTTATTCACCATGTAGGTCCCTCTACAGCAAACTAAAATACTCCCTCGATACCTGTTCACTTTGGATTTTTTCCAGTTGACTTTTTTAATACCCAAATCCACATATGATTCGGTGAGTTCTACATTTAATTCTCCTTCGGAGTCACTTGGAAGTATTCCTAGCTTTGCAGCAGATTCATAGAGAGCAATTTCATCTTTTAGTTCTGTTAATTCCTCCTAGAACACAGAAGTATTGAAGACAATCGCCATTACTTTCCTGTATGAAGAAATCAGTTATTCTGTTCCAGGTTTTAATGATCATCTGGCAGCAGAAAATGTCTTCAAGCACGTGTCTGCTGTACGTACGTTATATTCCTCATGGGGAGCTGGCACCTGTACAAACACACCTCGATTCTTTTGTTATCCCCTTCTCCTCCCGTTCTTTCGCCTTCCCTCTATCTTTCCCATTTGCAAAACATCTATCTCCTTGTTTCCTATTATCCATCTTTTATTTTGTTTTTTATTTATACTTCGGCTTCTCATAGAGGAGAAACCATGTGTCTGATTTATTTCTTGTAACATTATGGTCTCAAGGCACACGCATTTTCTCTTAAATGTCTTTAGTTTATCCTTCGCGGAAGAGTAGTGCTCCATTGTGTATAAATGCCACATTTTCTTTATCCATTCATCCGTTGATGGGCATACAGGGTGCTCCCAAGATGTAGCTGTTATATAAGTTGTACTGCTATAAACATGGGTATCCTCCCCTTTCAGTGGCAAATATAAATAGCAGTGGAGAAGGATGTGAGAGAATGGCCGCTACAGGAAACATGCTACATACACACATGCGGCTGAACTTATTCCTGGGAAAGACGAAAGTCTGGGCCCTGGGAAGGGGCAGACCTGGGCTTGCACACCTAACAGTGTGGGTGAGAGGGTGAACAACTCCCATGGGCGGGTGTTAAGAAGGCCCAACCACCTCTCTATGTCGAGAGAGCTAAGAGCCAATCGCTGATGTGGCCCCGCCTACCCTGGTTACCCAGGGTCCCTTGGGACTGCGCTCACCTGCAGGGCCTTGTTCATGTTTTCACTCAGCGCATGCGCCTTCTGTGCCTGCTGCAGCTGGAGCCGCAACTGCGCCACCTCCTGGATGGAGCCTGCGGGGAGAGGGCACATGACAGGCTGAGTGTGCGGGATGAGGGCCTGCGATGGGCAGAACGCGTGCAATTGGCAGAACGGCGGCGCCGAGTTCTGCTTTAGCACCAAGAGCTCCCCAGGGCCGTAAAGGGATCCGGCGACAGGGCTCACAAGGCACAAGCCTGGTCCTGACGTTCCCAACCCACAGCGTGGGCTGCGGGGTGACCTCACTAGGGATCACATGGGCCACATCTCCAGACTTTAGCACTCGCCAAGGGTCTGGAGCAGCCGCGTGACAGCCCAATTCATAGAAAGCCAAAGAAGAAAACTACATCTTGCTGGTTTTAGCATCTTTCTAAATGCTTGTTTCCAGCACTCCAAGCTCCGCATGAGAAAGTATGTTAGTTCTGTGATTCCAAAATGTTAGCAAACCAATGTTCCAAGTGTACTGGAAGGCTCTCATTTAAAAGGGACTTCACTGAGCCGCCTCCAAAGATGACCGTCTCAGAAACAGTTAAGCGAGGTAATCGTAACATATTATGCAGCTAAAAATAATCTAATTTGCAAGGCCTTTAATGGCCAAGAAAAAAAAGCTCACCAAAAAATGCCACTGGGAGAAAAGAATACATAAGTAGTTCGGGTGCAGTGCCAGGCAGGGTACGGTCCAAACTGTGTCCCCATCAAAATATACATGAGGTATGACGGAAAACAGTGACTATTAAAATTTTTAAAAATTTATTACAATAAAAGACACACTGTCCTCCCTGCTTTGAACACACGCATCCCACAGTTCTTGCTACTTTCTGGAGCAGCTCTGGAGCCCTCTGTCTTCACTCGTGCTGCCCTGGCTGCCTTGATGTCCTGAGTTGGCTTGTGGTGATTTTGACTGTGAGGAGGAAGCAGGAGTCACATGGTGTCAGATCTGCTGGATGAGGTGGACGAGGAAACGCCCTCATGTCTTTGTGAGCCTGCCTTTCTATCCCATGGCACTTGGCAACACCACTCACTGTAATTTGTTTTGTTTTGTTTTGTTTTGTTTTGTTTTTCTCCGGTACCAGGAACCGAACTCATGACGTTGCGCTTGCCAAGCAGGTGCTTTGCCGCTGAGCTAAATCCCCAGCCCCTCACTCACTGTAATTTTGATAAGCCTCATAAAGACATTCAGGAAAGAGGACTTCGAAGCTGCTTCAGAAGGCAGCAAGAACCATGGGTTAAGTGTTTTGGAGGGGAGGGAAGTATTTTGATAGTGATTTGTGGCAGTGTGTCTTTCACTATAAAGAACATTTAAAAAAAAAAAAAAAAAAAAACTAAACATTCACCATATTTTTCGACCAGCCCCTGTGTGTGCTTGACTTCAGTGTTCTCCACTTAGGCCCTGTTTCACGTATGGCGCCAACAGTCTGAATTGTTCTTCACACACCCAAGTGTGGCTTTCATATGCACCTACTGAATAACTACTGACCTGTCTGTACAATGTGAACCCTTTACCCAAAACTAAGCAAGTTTTGTACAAAGACACAGTAAGCAGTCTTTGTACAAATGTTTGATTATTGCCATTTACTGTAATATCATTTTATTAAAAATAATAAATTCAATGGGCACAATGATGCGTAATCCCAGCACCCTGAGAAGCTGAGGCAGGAGGATACAAATCTGAGCCCATCATGGGCAACTTAGTAAAAACCTTGTCTCAAAATAAAAAAAATTTTAAAGGGCTAGGAATGTGCAAAAGCCATAGGTTCAATCCCTAGTACCACTAAATAGATAAAAAAAAAAAAATAAGAAATAAAATACCTGCTGACATAGAAAGGAATATATTTTCTCAAACCTAGTATGATGGAGACCATATTAGAAACTTTTTTTGTTTTGTTTTATTTTGTTTTTGTTTGTTGAGATAGGGTCTCGCTTTGTAGTTCAGGTTGGCCCTAATCTCAAAGTGATCCTCCTGCCTCAGCCTCCCAAGTGCTGGGATTATAGGCAAGCACCGCATCCAGCATATTAGAAATCTTACACATGACAAAAATGTAATTCTTCCCTGAATGACTAGGTAAGTAGCTATTCTGCTGTGAGGTGGGGAACATACTGAAGAGGTTCTACAAAAGAATAGAACCAGATGATCAAATATTGGGTCTAAAAAAATATAATGGCATTTTGGAATCATTCTCAGCTTTCGGGGTAGAACTTATGTTCTCACATATACAGTATTGTACTGTTGAGTTTTGCGTATCTGGCTTTAGTGTATTTTCAGAAATGTACAGTACAGGGAAGCAGGACACTATCTATGTGTGTACATCTGCTCCATTTGAAGACACACATCCGAACTGTCATAATACTTTTCTCCAAGTAATAGGATTGTTATTTTTATTTGGTGCTCTTCAGTTGTCGGCAAATTACTCAATAAAATATGAATGACATGTATAACAATGTATCTTTAAAGGAAGACACGTGGCATCGCCGTCATTGGCGGTCCCCCGGGCGCCTAACACACAGGCGGGCGGGTGCACTGAGCCCACAGGAGCCAGTACCTGACTGCAGCAGGTGCACGCACTGCTTCTGTGTCTCCTCCAGGCTCCGCGACAGCCTGCTGATGACCTCGGTCTTCTCCACTCTGGTGGCTTCTTGATTCCTTTCCAGCTGTTTCACGTGATCTTTTAAACGAGAACAGACGTCTTCCTAAGTAGAAAAAGAGTTCAGGATGTCATTTCCATGATGAGCCCTAAGAAATGCGAAATGGAGGATGCTCCCACATCACTGGATTTTCACTCAAACGCAAAACCATCACAGGACACAAGTGCGCGTGGCTGGGAGTCAGAGGAGAAGACATCTCCTGAGACCTGCTTCTCCGTCTGTTTCTTCTTTTGCAATTATGCTAATAAAGTACAAATTAGACAATTTATAAAGCCCCCTCTACTCCACATTCTCAAGACACTGTTATTCTAAGGTTAGGTTTTATTCATGCCAAAAGAAATACGTCACACTCCTACTTGCACCCCACGCTGTCGTGTAAGTGTAGGCAGACACACCTAAGCAGACCACCTGGAATCACACACGTGTGTCTTGTAACCCGATGCAGCAAGGACGCAGATAAACAAATGGAAACTCATTCTGTTCTAAGCAGCCCGAAGCTTATTCTCTTTGGAGCGATCAAAAATATTCTCTCCTCTGAACTTCTTTTAAACTGCTTCTGTTTAAAATAATCTGTTTCTCATGTTTTCTTTCTACCTTTTAAACTTGTTTCTTTTTAATTGTCTCCTGGAGGACACTTCTGCCTTGCCTTGTACGCAGCAAGTGCTACAACGAATGCATGAAATATAAACGACAGAGGAGGAAGGGAGAGGAACAGAGAAAGGATATCTGCGTATCTGTGTATGCGCACGTGTGACTGCATAGCAGTGATGCACACAAAGTACAGGGTGAGGGGCTGGGGTGTGGTTCAGTGGTAGTGTTCGCCCAGAAGGCACAAGGAGGCCCTGGGTTTGATGCTCAGCACTACAAAAACATGGATGGATGGGTGGATGGATGGACGGATGGACAGACAAATAGTCAGACGGATGGACAGACAGATGGAGTGTGTATCTAGTCTATTCAAGTTTCTCCAAAGAAGAAAATGCATTTGCAAATAATGCGCCGTGGGAATTCCACACCCCAGTAGAAGCCATCACCTCTCATCCAAAATCACACAGGCTGAAGTCCAGGCAAGTGGGAGAACAAGGGAGAGGGAGAGGAGTGAATAAGGTAAACGGCTGAAATTTCCTGAAAGAAGCTTCAAGAAAACAAATAAAATACTAAGAGGACTATCAAGAATGAGCTCTGAAGCCGAGAGGAAGCCTTAGACCTGCACTGCCTGGGGTAAGATAAAGCCCAACAGTGCTTGTAGGGTGCAAACACAGGTCCCTCCCAAGCAGAGGACTCCGGAGGGCCTCCTCTGAACTGAAAAAATCACGCGAATTTTGTATTCTTCTTCATCAGGTCCCACATTTGCTTTACATTTTTTCTGCCAAATCTTCGAGCAGAACGAGCTTCTGGAGACCGGGCCGTGTTTGCTCAGCACTGCAGACCTCTCGGCGCAGTGCTGCAGACTCAGGCCTGTGTCGAGGTGCCGGCCCTCGAGGGCCGAGGAGCCTGCCGACCCCACGGCGGCTCGCACTGCGACCATGTGAACATGCGCGCAAGAAGGGATGCAAGACACGTGTGTGACGGCAGCCCGGGGAGCAAGAGCAAGACAAGTTCAAGAAAAGGCGGACAAAAAACGCTGCAGAGAAAAGGCAGACCTTGGCAATAATTTGACTCCATGCGATTAAACCGTGGCCTGTCCTGCTGCCAACTTAGGGAGACAGATTATCTACAAAAAGTCATACTTTTAAAAACAAAAGTAAAGATGAGGAGCTCCATCTTTCCCATGCTTAGCTTGAGTGAGAACACAGTCCAAGACTGAAAGGGGCAGACATCTTTTAAGGCTGAACACGGCGAGTGTGATGGCAAAGAGCTGACAGCTGGGCCTGTGGGATGACATAGAATTGAGCAGCGTTCCAGTGCAGGGAGAAATGAGGATTAAACAATACACAAAGAAGCCTCTCCACCAACAACAAAGCTTTCAAAGTAGAGCCCTTAAATGCAACATGAAAGGACAGGTAGAAAACAGACCAAGTGAAGGTCATGATGGAAAACCAAAGCCATGAAGATCTTATGGTATCCAGAACAAAATACTGCATCACCAAGGAGGCAACCTGAGACTGTTATAGCGTGCATCTAGATGTTCCCCAAAGCCTCAAGTGCTCACAGGCCAGGCTTTTCAGAGACGGCTGGATCTAGGATGTGTATATATGAATGCCGGATCTAGGGTGTGTATATATGAATGCCGGATCTAGGGTGTGTATATATGAATTAAGAGTGTGTGGTAACTAAAGTGGTCCACTGATTGGTTTATCATAGTTCTGAGTGTGGATACGGAAAGACTGCTCTGGATGTGGGTGGCCTCTAGGTTTGTACCCTGGATGGGATAAAAGTCTGAAAGGCTCATTGCTTGCTGTTTCCTGCTTGCCCTGCCATGGACTGTTTTTCCTCTGCCATGCCCCCTGCCTGGGATCCAGCCGACAACAGACTGAAACCTCTACAACCTGTGAGCTAAAAGAAACCCTTTATCCTTTAACTTGTAGGTGTTTGGTACTTTGTCCCAACAACAAGAGAACTAAGACAGAAACCTTAACATGATACTTCCACAAGTGAAGGAAGGCAGAAGACAGTTTAAAGAAATAACCAGAGATCTTACTGAGACCTGGACACTTCTCCAAATGGGAGGAAATAGTCCAGAGATAGTTTCTATTGGAGAGTTATACCATTGTTACACTTTGCGGAATCCATGTGATCCAAGAACTCCAACTCAAGAGGAACTCAGCCAAAGTAAAAAGGATTCTCACAATATGGTACGTGGACCATCTCTTCTCACAAAAAGTATCTCTTAAGGGAAATATAAAATTAATATGTCATATATTTTTCAATGTATACTAGTTACATGGATATTTTTTAAATGTACCATGGATTGCTACCCATCCTATTTCATAGTTTTAGACAATCTCTTGTTGAATTTTGTCTTTCAATTATAATTAAACAACCACTCGTGATCAAAACTCGGTCTTGGGAAGAACTTTCCAAGTTGACCAGTGGGAAAAGAAGAGGAAGAGGGAGAGGGAGAGAAATTCATCTAAATCAAATGTATATTTAACAGTGAAAACTTGAAACTTTTCCACAAAGACAGGACTAAGGCAAGGATGTTGCCTCTCATACTTTCCGCCATCATGCTGGAATTTCAAACCAATGCAGCAAGGCAAGAAAAGAAAATGAAGGGTATACAGATTGGGGAGGAAGCTAACACCTGATGATAACAGTTATGGGATACAACGTTGAAAAAACCAGCCAATCATATTCCTATGTACCAGCAATGAGCAAGTAGAATTTTACATTATAACAACTCCAGAATGAAACACTTAAGTACAAATCTACAAAACTCCAATGAAAGAAATCAATGAAGAACCACAGTAATGGACAGCAGTTCCAAGTTCATGACAGGAACACTTAATCTTATCAAGGTGTCACTTCTTTCCAACTTTATACAGCCAGTGTCAAGTCCAGCCAGGTTACTTCACAGATACCAATAAACTGAATATCTACGTGAAGTCACCCATACATCACTACCACTTTTGTGGCACAATGATATTTTTAAAGGTCCTGCTATCAAGCAAGGGTACAGGGTTGACGGCAATAGAGAACACAGGGGCTCAGACACTAGAAGTTCTTTCAGCCTGGCTCCAAGGTAACTGTCACAGGCAGTAGAGAACAGGCAGCTTTTCAAGTAACCCACACAGCTCACCCTTCTGGCGATCCAAGAAAGACCCCCACCCACTTTAACACACAGTGCCACACTGTGTTTACCCGAAATTAATACAAACAAGCCTGTACATAAATAACATTTTAAAAAATAAAATTAAAGTTACAGGACATCTCAAATTCTGTTTAAATATTTTTTACAATTTTCTATACTTTGGCATGGTGTTCATTGTTATAGTTTGTGTCTGAATGTCCCCCCAAAGCCTCATGCAATCATGGACGGCCTTCTAGATTTTTGACTGATTCACGGTCCAATGCTGGGATTATGGGCGTGAGTGCTATACCTGCCCCTGGGGTGGGTAGTTTGCATACAATGTAAGGGAGGGAAAGAGGCTGCTTGCCACTGCGTTTCCCCCCATTTGCTCTTGTTGAGTTTGCTGTGTTCTGCTACTATGAACAATTGCCTCTGCCATGTGCCACCCTGCCTCGGAGCCAGCTGAGTATGGACTGAAACCTCCACAGACTGTAAGCTAAATAAACCTTTCCTTCCTTTATTCTGAGTGTCAGGTATTTTGTCTCAGCAACAAGAGAATAGTAACCAAGACATTCATCTTTTCCCACCCCTACATATATATGCCCACAGTGATCAAATGCACACTATTTTTCTAGGACTAAAAAAGCAATAAAAACATAATTGGTAAAAATAAACCTTATGAAGACATACATATATAAAAATAAAATGGTAGATATACAACTATTATTGTCAATAATGTAATCTTATATAGCTCGCCCTAAAAGCATGGAAAATTAACAGTCAGCTATATGGGCTGGTGAGATAGCTCAGCAGCACAAGCACCTGCCTGGTAAACGCAAGGTCCTGAGTTTGATTCCCGGTACAAAAAAAAAGAAATAAGAGTCAGCTATATAAGCCAAAAATAACCCAAATCAGGATGAATGTTAGGGGTGGCAGGATTTTCTATACCCTCATGTCTTATTTTCTCCATTTCTCTTGGGGCATGTTCTGAAATGACATTAGGGAAAATGAATTCTGAAATTTTATTCATGTAAGTGACTACCTAGGGTTTTAGAGCACGAGTAAACCTACTACCTAATGCAACCTCAGCTTATTTTATTCCCTTCTGGACCAAAAAAATTGTAAAATATGCTCAAGTTTCACATCTTAATTTAGTTTAGATCAGATTATTTTTCTATTTTACATATTACACTGTTGGCTGAGTACCCCTTACCCAAAATGTTCCAATTTTAGAATATCTGCATAAACATAATGAGGTATCTCACACAGCGGACCCATGCCTGGACATGAAATTCACTTACACGCTTATCCACCTTACACAGGCACTGGGTCCAAAGGTCATTTTACAGGATGCTTTAGTGCACACGTGTTTTGACTGCAACCTGTGACACGGGGTCAGGGGCGCATTTTCCACTGAGTTGCCATGTCACCCACATGGAGCATTTTGGACTTCTGATTTTCAGGTTGGGAATTCTCAACCTGTGTTCTCAAAATTAACGCCCCTCCAGCAAAGGCATTTCCCAGCAGTCTTAACTGACAGACGAGTTCCCAGATGCTGGGAGGCCTGAAAAGGCTTTTAGAAGTTTGGACACCAGGGCCCCCAGCCCCCAGCACGTGCATCCCTTTCAGGCGGGACCTCTCCCAGGACAGCATGAACAATGCGCATAAATACCTATGAATCATGGGCCAGCAACGAGGGGGGGGGCCTGGAGGGAGCGCTAACCAGCCCTACAAAAATGGTTCCCAACATTATCCTTCAGGACACAGTCACTGATCCAAAAATCACTGGCTTTGAGGTTCCACTTGCAATCTAACACCTGCTAAAAACCTCCAAGATGTCTGTGAGTAACCGCAAAATACCAGTTACAAAACATCACCAGCTTTTCTTGTTGGTGACAGCTGCGCATCTGAGATCATCCCAACCTGTTCCTGAAGGGCCGCGACTGTGGCGTCCAAGCTCTCCTGTAAGGCCGACACCTGATCCTCGTACTTCTTTGTGAGGCCCACAACAACGCTCTCGTGCTGCTCTCTGGCCCGCTGCAGGGACTCGGAGTGACGAAGGTCCACCAGTTGCTGCTTCAAGCTCTCCAGAGCCATCTCGGTCGTCCGGGACTTCTTGAGCATCTGGAGAACACACACAGGTACCCACATTGACTTCTGATTTTCAGATTGGGAATTCTCTGTGAATATATTATGTTACAAGGCTAAAAAAAAGTTAAAAGTTGCACGTGGAATTAAAGTTACTAATCAGATGATCTCGAAACAAGATTATCCAGGCATAGTGGCACATGTCTATAATTCCAGCACTTTGGGAGACTGAGGCAAGAGGATCACAATTTTGAGGCCAGTCTGGGCAACTCAGTAACTTAGCAAGACCCTGTCACAAAATAAAACTTTTTTTTAAAGGGCTGGGGATGTAACTCAGTGCAAAAGCCCTGGGTTTAATTCCTTGTACCAGAGAGAGAGACAGAGAGAGTCAGAGAGAGACAGAGACACAGACCGAGAGACAGACGGAGAGAGAGCCACAGACTATCCCGGATTATCCAGGCCCACATTACCAACCACAAGGGTCTACAAGCGAGGACAACTGAGGCAGAAAAGTCAGAACCAAAGAGACATAACAGAAATGGACACCAATGCAAGAAAAAGCAATAAAATGGACTCTTCCTGGAGACCCGGAAAGCACCACCACCCTGCGGATACCTAGACTTTACACTAGTAAGAAAGGTCCCTGTCAGACTTGTGACTGCCAGAACTGTGAGATAAACTAGAATTGCTTCAAAACACTGAATTCACAGTAATCTGTTACAGCCACAATAGGACATACAGACTTGGTGATTCTGTTGCCTTTAGTTTACGCTATTCTATTTTTTAAATAAATGCAATTTCTAACTTATATAAGATTTTAGAGTTATAGCCTTTTAGGAAGGCAATTTCACATTTTAATCTAATAAACTTGTCAATTTCCAAAAAATTAAAAGTAATCCACACCATACACAAAAATTTAAATTTCAAATGAGGGCTATTCTTCATCGTACTCCAGAGGGCCTCCCACGACTTGCTCAATAAATAGTAAGGGATGTTTCGTGCCAGGCACAGGGTTCTAAGTACAGTGGCACCTCACTTCAGGACTGTGATTCTTTCCGTGATTCTGGTCACAAACCAAGTTGGACAAGAACCGAATTGAATTCAATGGTCAGGTTCAATGTTGACCTCATGGGGAAATTTGACTCGGTTTTTGTCCAGGGAGGTTTGTGATCAGAATTGTGGAGGGAACTGACTGCCTACCACAGGTTAGGTGACCAAACCTGGGACTCCTTCCAAAACTCAACAGCTCTCTAGCCCATCAATTAAAGAGTGTGTCACCTCTTTAAAAAGCAAGTCTAAGCAACAGCTCCCCAAACACTTAAGCTCCTCCAATAGCTTCCCAGGATAATGACCCTAGAAGGAATATTCAGGTCAGGAAATTTGGATTCTGATGCTTCCTTAAACTGGCTTTGTGCCCGTGGGTAAGAACTTTGCTCTAATTCATTTGTGAAATGATAAAATAGAATGCCTTGCTCATCAAAATTCCAAGATTTTAACAAAACACAAGAAGTTGATTTGCAAGATCCAGACATGAAAATGGAAAAAGTTGCAAAGTTTTTGAAGAATATTAAGGGTAGTCCTTTTTTTTTTTTTACCAACTTCAGTACACACCATAAAGCTACAGACATTACTGACAGTTCCAAAGGAATAGAAAAAATACAATAAAAAACCCACATACACATGTACACATATATACAAGGTATGTCAATTCTGAATCTCATACTCAACACACACTGCCCACCAAGCATGAACCAGGCGCTAGCCCTGGTGGTGGGTACAAAGATGAGAGTAGCCCAGTGACACCTCCACAGCATCCTCGGTCTATCAGAACAGATGCGAGCACCTGGTTTGAGGAAAAAAGCAGAGACTCGGGAAAAGAAAACCTGTGAGCAGAGGCTGATTACTGGGATGGCAGTGAGCTGCGGAAAGGGCATTCCAGAGAGGAGCAGACCTGTGCAGGTAGATAAAAACTATCCATAGCTTGAGGAGTGTGAAGGGAGAAAGGGAGCAATCAAGGTTCCGGCGGCCATCTTGACACTGCATTCGCCCCACAGGTAAAGCGGGGTCACTCAAAGGTTGTATGCAAGGGAACGACAAAATCAGTGTTCTAGAAAGATTACCCATGTGGCCGTAAGACAAACTATGGAAGGTTAAAAGACTAGAGATTAAGCATTTGGTAACAAGAAGGTAAGACCCTGAGGAGGTGAAGAGACACCAACAGAACTCAGGCGGCTGACTGGGCGATGGGGAAGATGGAGCTGCGGCCTCAGGATGTCCGAGGATGACCACCCTCCCCTAAGGTAAGAAGAGAAGCAAGCTTGCGGTAGAGGAACCTACAAGCTTCTAAACAATCCTAGTCTTCTAAGAGTTTCACAGTACATAAAATTTTCACTTAACTTTTTACCACACAGAGCCTTAACATGTTTACCTTTTCTTCGTTGACCTTTAATGCTTGTATTTGGGTCTCCAGGGCTGTTATTTGCGCTTCAAGCTGTATCTCCCTTTCTTTCCCATCCTGAAAGAGCTTCTGTGATTCTCGAAGGCTGAGGGTCAAACCATCTTTCTCATCTAGGGCATTAAAAATGTTTTTATAAATAACATGTTCCTGAATAGGGATTGTAATTGTCCCAGTGCCTATCAGATCTGTGTTAAAGAATTAAATTCCTTTCACACAAATGAACTGTAGTAGAGTAGAGAAAAATCAGAAAAAATGTGGTTAAAAAAATACTTAAATGACTCGAAAAATATTTTAAAGAATCAGCGTCACTGCCTTTAAAATTTTTACCATATCCCATTTGGGGCCAAAAGATTTCCTCACGATTTCAGCATTTGTTTAATTGAGTGTATGTAGACAGAACAAACCCTTGTGAATCAAAACATGTATCTGAGAACTAATCACTTCCTAAATATACTTGCAATGAGCTCTTTAATCTACTTAGCCTTAAATTCTTCCCACAAACTTTGTTATATGGGGGCTGGGGATTTAGCTTAGCGGCAAAGCACCTGCCTGGCAAGTGCAAGGTCGTGAGTTCGATTCCTGGTACCAGAAGGAAAAAAAAAAAAACTGCTATAAAAGCTCACAAGCTCTCTCAAAATCAATTTTATGAGCATTACAGAAAAAGAGCTTTTCACTATGAATTTAATTTGAAATGAGCTGGAGTTCTGTCAAAACATTGTCCCATGAATCAGTCAGACACTGACCAAAGCTAGAGCAGGAAGAAAAAGAAATTGTCGTGCATACCTGCATGACACTGCATTCGCCCCACAGGTAAAGTGGGGTCATTCAGGCTTTATGCAAGGAAACGACAAAGTCAGTGTTCTAGATAGATTACCCATGTGGCCATAAGAGAAACTATGGAAGGTGTAAGAGACTAGAGATTAAGAGTTTGGTAAAGAAGGTAAGACCCTGAGGAGGTGAAGAGACATCAACAGAACTCAGGCAGCTGACTGGGCGAAGGGGAAGACTGAGCTGCAGCCTCAGGATGTCCAAGGATGACCGCCCTCCTCTAAGGTAAGATCCTCTACATCATTACGCCAAGGTGGCCCACCTCCAACTGCTCTGGGTCCAAACTCCTGCTGCGCTCCAAATGCGCGTGCTAATCTGTAGGCTCAGACAGCACTGCATTACCAACTAAACAAAGCACTCTGAGAAGGGAGTACTTCATCCACGGTAACCACATGAGGGGTCGGCAGCTTGGGAGGGCAGGCTGTTCTCAGCATGGATAAATAACGGATCACTGATTCTACCAGCCTAAGAGGGAAAAGGAGAAAACGAAAGGAAAGAAGAAAAAAGACTGAGGCTGCAAAATAACATGTTCTGGAGGAAAGGGATCCAAGCCAGGCCTCAGAAGTCCTGGGTTTCTGTTTCACTTTGTCTGATTCACTACGAGTCTCTGATCCAGGAAAGTAAGGGTGTTAGAAATGAAAAACACAAAAAGACAAAACAAAAAAGCAAAACGAGGTTACTAGGAACAAGATGTCTAGCTTTGCTACGGCTCATGAATCACAGTTCCCAGCACTTACAATCTTACCTTTGACTATCAGAAGCTGGTGGTTCAGATACCGAATCTGACGTTCACTTTCATTTAACTTCTCAGCCAAGTTGTCCAGTTGTCTCTCTTTTGCTTTGTTAAGAACCCGAAGTTGGACAATCTGCACATTCTCTGCACAGTCTGGTTTGGAAGTGAAGACAACTTATTAGATCAAAATATAAATGTGTGGTCCTTTGGGACCATTTTTCAAACTGTGGGTATAACTTCTTAGATGGCCATGAAATCAATTCTGTGGACTGCAACTAGCAGTTTTCAAAAAATAAAGATAGGTTAAAAACATTTAAGATTACATCATGTACTAAGAAAAAGTATTTTGTGAAAGATGTATTGTACTTATTATGACAGTTAGGCTGCCAATTTGATTGTCTTGAGACCACCCCCCCCCCAGTGACTAGTAAAGCTCACTCTGGGTGTGCCTGGGTGGGTCATGAGAAGGGATTTGGGGCCCTGTGTCTAGTCCCAGCCCCTTCCTCTTGGGTGCTGCCCCCTACTCTGCTTATTGACTGCCATGAGTTGAGCAGCTTTGCTCCGCCAGGCCCTACGACCATGAGATGTTCCTGCTCTGGATCAGCCATCCATACACTGAATTCCCCTGTAATTGTGAACACATTGCAGGTGTCAGGTATTTTGTACCAGCAACAGGAAACCTGACTAATGTATTTACATACATTTATTCATATTGCTCTATATTGCAGATTATAACACAATGCAGAAAATTGATATACTATGGGTCACTGCCACAAACATGTGAAAGTCACTGGTTTCAGTGTGAGCCTGAAACACTACCAGTTTAGTCAATTAAAAATCAGTACAAAACAACTGTAATAGAAGAAAGTAATACATTCTCATAAGATTAAGAACAAGAAAGCCACATCAGCTTCTATAACATTATTTTTAAAGAAAATCGCTAGATATCCTTCTCAAAATATTTTATCTTTTTATTCAGAGTGGGAAATACGTTGTATTTACATGTCTGCTGGCGCATAACTGCTGTGTTAACTAATGAATAGAGTAATAAAGAATCTGGAGGTCTTCTTTCAGAAGCAAAAAAAGTCATAATGATGGGTACTTCAACTAGGTAATGATAAATATTCATTTTCTACTAGGCACATAGTCCTGTAAGCTTACAGACAGATGTACTTAGAAGTGATAGCTACTTGCTTACAAAATAATCCAGTCCTCTTTTGAACAGACATATGGTTAGAAAACCTAAAGACTGAACACTGTGTCACAGATCAAACTCCTCTTAGGCCATTCAGCAGGCTAGCCCAAAAGTAAACGGTCTCTAAGCTCCACCTCTTTCCAAACTCACTTTCTAAAACATACTCTTGCTAAGTGGCTGTCATCACCAAATTTGGCACTATCACTAAATTATTTCACTGTCTTCCAAATGTCAATTTAGGAAAATGTGTAACCAACTTAAAAAAAAAATCAATTGATAAAATGCATACTGCTCACAAAGGTGACGAGAAATCCGACCCGCAGAAGGACCAGGAGACAGAAACGGAACTCAGGGCAGGGGAACAGAGGGACGCCAGGCCCTGGCTGTGATACTGACTCAACCTAAAGCCAGTTATGCCATGTATGCTGGCCACTTCGTTCCACAAAAACTTACAATCAAAGAGCGGCCACCCCATATTTGCTGCTGACTCTTCAGAGGAACACGGGTTTGAGGCCTCCCCCATAGCTGTTCTACATTCTATGAACTCGGCAGAGAAGCCAGATTTTCTCTTTGCCATAGCCCAGGCGACCCAGCGTATCGTTTCACTTTTCCCCTACTCATTAAAGAAATAAACAAACGCACACTTGTAGTCATACTCTAGAATCTAGAATCACGCTGGCTCTTCAACATGTACAGTGGTTAGGAGTTATTTAACATGCCAGATGGCATGACAATAAGTCAGATGCACAAAAACACTAATTCTGGATAATCACTATATAAGTTTTGATTTTTTTTTAATACCAAGGCATTTCATCCAAAATTCTCCAGTAGAAACAAGCACTTTTCTTACTGTCATTTATATTCACACTCTACCAAAAATTAAAATAAAAAACATCTGGGACAGATCTAGGTCAAGTTCTGAATGTAAAGTAATTTATGTAACAGCTTAACTATTACACTAAATTGTAAAATTCAAAAGAAAAGACAAAACTGGTTGATTTATTAAATTTCATTTCTAAAAAAATGAAAGATTTGAGATTGATGAAAAAACTGTGTTTGCTTGCAGAGTGGACTTCAGTAAGAAAAATAGGAAAATCTTGAAAAGTCTTTACAAACTAAATGACTAAGATACATACAGTAGTTAGAAAAATTTTGTTTTAACTTATTTTTATGATGGAAAATGTCAAACATATGAGAAACACATAAAATCCCTGTGAACTCATCTCCCAGCGTCAACAATTATGAAGCCATGGCCAGCTTTGCTTCAGTCCTCCCACCCAACATTCATTTACTTCCAACAACATATTTTAAGTAAATTTTAGGCCTCTTGTCAGGTTATTCATAGCCATACCAGTACATGTATGCATCTCTAAAAGTAAGGGCTCTTCAAAATATCAACCACCATTCTATTATCTTATTTAAAAAATAATAACTCTTTAACATGCATATAAATATCCACTCAGTGTTCAAAATTTCCCCATTATACTATAAAGAAAATATAAACATGATACCCACTTTCATTAGCTCCTAAAAATTGTTGTTGCAGGCCTTCAAATGAGTCACTTCCCACTACCTCCTGGGTTGGCGAGCTACATTTCTGGACAGAAGGTTGATAAGGTTTGTATGTCACTTTATATGGCTCCAAACCTTGACCACTGGGACCTTGTGTTGAACCAAATTGCTATTGTAATAGGACAAATGCAAATGACAATTAGAATTTGGCCTTCCATTCCAAAATCATTACAGTCAGGCACCTTAATTTTATACTATAGAAGCTAACTGTAGTACATTTACAAGTTTTTATAAACATCTTTGCTCAAAATAGCATTTATTGCTACTTAACACTGTTAATTCCTTCACTGTCGTTTCGCACACATAATGGAGCCAATCTTGGAAGCAAACCTCAAGAAATACAATCGGAAAAAAAGAATTCCAATGAGATTGTATGTAAGTATTTTATTACAATGACGCAGAGGATGCCAACGTCTTGGGAACATAAAAATGCACACGCTCAATAATAACATTTGATACAAAGCCTCAGAGATAATAAATATTCAATAACTTGTGCAATGAATAACATTCTCCAGAGAGAGAATTAAGAGAAAATAGCCACCTTGATTGGACCCAAAAAATCACCCTGACACTGAATGACCCAGAACAGCAATCAGCAAAACGACGCACCTGTGGTCATCAAGCAATTCTAAGAAGCAACTAGGTACAGCCTGAGGTCTCAGTTTATAACCTCTCCCACAGTAACAACAAGGTGGTTTTTTTTAACATTCCTTTTGTCTACCATCACACCGTACAAATCAGGTATCAACTCGGAAGTGTCTAACCTAAAATTTGTTAGGAGGGGTAAGAAAACCGAGGGAACTACAGGCTGTGCTCTACCCAAAATTACTGCTTTAAAGACTGTATCAAGCTGCCTACACAGTGTTTCTCACTGAAGCCCCGGGAGTTGGTAGAAGCCAGAAGCAGCGGTAAGTAAAGACAGTTATTCTCCGGCAGACTTCACTTCTAGTGCTTAAATAACTGCTCCCACAACTTCTATTTTAAACTTCGGACTTTAGGTCAAAATTGCATTCAATCAGAAAGAGAAAATGGCATGTCTAGTTCAGCATGAGTTAGTGCACTTTCAGAAATTTTTGTAGTAAAAATAAATCATCTTGTCATTGCACTCCCGCACATTTCTTAAGCATTTATATATGCAAGCAGATGTCTGTACACACATACGCACACAAAAACATTCTTTTAAAAGCCAAATTCTTCATACCTGAAAATGGTTCCTTGGAGGATCTGAAAATTGAATGACACTGGCTGGCTGGGTATTGAACTCCTGCTTCGGACCACTGGGGTAGGGCCGGAGGTGCTCCGGCACATGATACAAATCGGCCTGTCCACCTGTGCCCGGGGGACTATAGCCACTTCCGCCTTCATCTCCGGCCTCTTCGGGGTGGAACCCGGGGTGTCGGTCCTCGGCTCTGCTTCGATTTTCTCCCCAGCCATTGCCACACGCCTCTCCAGCGTAAGCCTGAATTTCGTTACAGCCCTGTTAGCTAACAAGGGTGAGACAGGCGAACCTCCCACCCGCATCAGGGCCTCGGCCGCCCGGCTGGAGACTCACATTCGCGCTTGGAGACCTGGGCAGCACCTGCGGCTTACTCCAGTTCACCCCCAACTGCTCCGAAGGATGTGGTCTTGGGGAAAAAAAAAAACAAACAGTAATTTAGATTTGAAGCTCTCCATTCATTTGGACAGAGACAACGCAAAGAAGAATCCCAAGGGTCTAACGTCTGTGGTCTACCGTGGTGCTTTTCCCTGCAACCTTTAGCCCAAAATTTAAGAATCAGTCAGCAGTTTTATGGCCATGCATGTGATTATGACCTGCGGAGGATTAAGAGAAAAAGCCTGAGAGAACGCAGAACACAAGGGAAAGGGACCCGGGTCCTTACCGGCGCTCCAGGCCGTGCTCGCTGCAGTCCGAGTCCTGGAGCTCCGGGGAGGACAGGTCGTCATCCAGCATGTGGTGAGGGAGACCTGTGAGCAGCTGCTGCAACTGAGGCGGGAGAGCGCGTCAGCGTCCGCGGACTGCGACGAGGACCGGCCACGTGGCCTCGGAGACCGACAGGCAAAGCCTTCCTCCCATTCGGTAAGTTCTCAAAATCCACCGAAACTGCGCTCACCCTTTCACGCAAGGAAAGGGGAGCACACAGTATCCGGTTTTCTATTGCAAGGTTTTGTCCGTTTCTACCAGGGTCTCAGACTTAAATGTACGTGTATTACAAGAGAACCGAAAAACTTCACTATGGAAATACGGCGAGTGAGCACAGCGGTGCAGTCACTGCGTACTGCTGGCGGGGGCAGACTTGAGCCCTGGGGTCCTACTTTCGCAGTAATCTGACCTCGGGGACTGGGTGGCCAGATGCACTCTGCCAGGTGTGTAGAATGGCACAGCAGGTGGCCTGGAAGCCTTAAGCTCCCACACGTGACGGTAAGCCCTCGGGAATGCCTAATTAATGACAGCCATCTAACTGCAAAGATGAGAGGATATACAACACTGCCCTGATAAAACGTTCCAGTAACAGGGGGGCTGGGAGCTCGGGTTTGCTACAGGGAGCACGCTCGAAGGCAGACCCTGCAAGACGCAGGGAACAACTCGGCTGAGCTCTCCAAGTTTATTCTAGAAAAGAGCACTTTTTTTACAATCCTGTCTATACACACAGACTAAATAAATTCAAGTTTGAAGATAAATGTGATAAAAGATAAGTTGAATTTCAGTGTCAGCAATCATCTTTCAAGTCCCCACATACTGTCTTAAAACCTAAGAATCAGAAGATTCACATATGATGCTATGGACAGTTCAGAAGGGGACTGCCGATGAGGCGCCCTCTAAGTACCAAGCCTGGGGCTGGGGTGCACCGCAGTGGCAGAGCACTGACTTGGCAAGTGCAAGGCCCTGAGCCCCACCCCCAGCACTGGAACAAAAGAGAAGAAGCTAAGCACCAGTTTAATTACCAAGCTGACTAAGTCCCTCCAGAGCTTACAGATCAGTTCCGTAAAATGATGCAGTGAGTGAAATTTAAAGACATCAACACGCTGTGAACCCAGCAAGGGAGAACGGGAGCCCCCTATTCTGCAGCACGTGAGTGTTTTTGCTATTTTCCACTTTCTCATCACTAGCATAAACAAATTGGAATCTCAATATAGTATCTGTCTAAGTTAAGTTCTGTGTTCAGAATTTTTTAAAAACTTTCTTCAATAACACATATGGTAAAAAATATATTCCAAGAAAGTCCTGAAAAGAATGTCCTACATTGTTATCTGTGCTTTGGTGAAAATAACCTGATAACGGGAATGGACTTTGTGAGGAGGGCACATATTTCCTCACTGTCATACATACTCCTAATATCCCTGGATTTAAAAAAAAAAAAAAAAAAGATTTTCTTAGTCTATCTGGTTTTGAAAAAGAAACATACACTTTCAAATGAAAAGTGATTTTTACCTTTAAATATGCTCGATACTAATGTGAACAACTGAGATCTGGATGTACTGCCTACCTGTTCATGCAAGGTAATCAAAAAATAATTTTGAGAACTGGCCATATCAGAGTTGACCCAAAATAAAAAAATAAGCGCACACACACACACACACACACACACACACACGCCCACTAAAAACAAAACAGAACACATCAACATCTAAGTACACTGCTAGCTTCAAATAGCAAAACAATTTTACAAACACAAAATGCTCGAAGGCAAAACAATACCCCACACATTACACAAGGGAAAATAACAACAAAGTGAATCTTTCATGCTTACTTGAAGTAAGGACTCCTGCACAGAAAGAATATCTTCTTCTAAACCTTCAGTGAGGTTCAGGTACACAGCCTTAGAATCCAGGGGAAGCGTGACAGGGACAGCTGAACAGTACATTTCCCCGGACGCTGACAGAAAAGCCTACATAATACTGAAGCATTTATTGCAGCTTTCTTTGTGATCTCACAAAATTAATAAAATTGCTTCCATGGGAGAAAATTAATTTATGCATGAGGAGCTATCAGAATGCTTCTGGAGCCACAGATAAACTTATCAACCAGCAAAACCAATCCCTGCGGTACTTGAGTCAGATGTTTACTGATACATTACAATTTTTAAGTAGTTGAGTTCACCTTCAGAAAACACCTCCATCTGGCACGGCTGGGTCTTACTTATTGCTTGACTTCTCTACCTGCAGGCCAGAGAGAAGCTAAAGGAGGAAAAAGCGCCCCAGTAAGGCCACTCAGGAATGATTCCACCCCCACCCCGCACTTCCGTTGCCCGGGATTGGCGTGCATCCTCCCCATCCCTGCTGTCAAGTAGGTTTTGCTCTTGGTTATTACGCCTTGTGCCACAAAACACAAAACTGCTGCACCGGCCCGTGCATGTTACCAACTAGAGAGTCTTAGAAACTATAAAATATTTTCATTAAAGATACACTAACTTCCATATATGGATTCAAGGACCAAAAAAAAAGGTTAATCCTTATTAGTGACAAGATTTAAGCCCGCTCATAAATTTCAAATTCAACAGATTGTTTTTTGGCCGCAAGTACCACAGCAAGCTTCCCAGGGGCGTGCTACCGTCTACCGGCTGAATTTAATGATTTAAGAAATGCCTTCCCGAGAAGAAAGAGAATTTGCCACTATTAAAGCTTTTTGAAATAGTCTATAAACTCCTGTCCCTGGAAAGAATCTATAGGATCAAGATTTTATATAGATTTTATATCAAGAATGGCCAAGTACAATATATATATATATATATATATATATATTCCCTGAAACTAATGTAATCATAATGTATTCCAAACATATACCCATAAGTAAATGCATACATTCTCTCCCTTTACTCCATGTTTCTTTCCTAAAAAGGATTAAAAACTGCCTTTAACTCAAAGAACTTCATCAGCAAAACATTTTCAGTAACCTTATGTTCAGGGAAGAATGAATGTAAGACAGATGACAGGTAAACCCTTTGTTAGGATTTTCAACCTAAATTAATTGAACAGACTGTCTCGTCCGTGTGGGAGCCTGTAATCCCTGGTATTCAGGAAAGTAAGTGTTCTCAGGTTACCAAGCACACAAAACACCTTCTCCCCAGAGAGAAGCAGCAACTAGAGTAGCCAACGGTCGTCTTCCTTTAGAACAGGCTACCTGGTAAGCACACTTCTGAAAAGACCCTGCTGCTTTATAAAATACACTATGGGGTAATGCCTTCATGGACAGCTACTAAGCAGAACCTATTTTAGTACATTTGCTGCCGAAGAGAGCACAGCAGAACCTATTTTAACCAAAGAACCAAATTTAAGACCTACTTGCAAAAGTACAATTTGGGACGGTTAAAGGACCAAAATAACTTGGCAGCTACATCTTTAGTTTATGAATTATGCTGTGTTCACAATAAGAAAAAAAAAAGTGACAGTCCTTGAAAAAGACCTGTCTAGAATGAGGGGAAACTCACCAGATACAATCCAGATAATGTGTTAGAGACGGCCACAGACAAACATAAGAAAAAAATACATTACGACACAACCATTTGTTTCTTGAATTTTCTGGGGGAACAAAACAATTCCACTGAATAAGTCAAATAATATGGAATATAAATAAACACAGCTTTACAACTCCCTCTAGTGGAACAAGATACAAAAGGTTCCCGTAAAGGCACCAAGCAAGGCAGGAAAGAAGAGAGGAGTGCGTGGTGGGAAGCTGGCTTGGAGCACAGGACCCGGCCAGAGGAGCTGTTCTGTTCTCCTGGAGCAGCAGCAATAGCCAAACCACGAGGGGCCAGGGCAGCATCGCCAGGGCCGCTTTGCGTCTGCCGCCTGCCTCCCAGACCACCTGCCTTTCTCCTCAAGACCATTCTCAACAAGTCAGCACCATCAAGCGCTCCCCGGACAGCACAGATGACCCAGCATTTCTGCCCCACGTCGCTGGTGCCCGAATGTGTGGAGACACTGGTCACTTTACTGCCCAGGACCAAGCAAGAGTCACAGCTACTTCTGGCGGCACTGCAGGATGCCAGTGGCCCTCCCATGACAGCCGACCTTGATTAAGCTGTGGCTTTACCGGTAACTTAGAAGCTGACAGCGACCAAATGACGACAGGTCTCTGGCACGGCCCACTATGAAATCGTGAGAACAATGACTTCAGGTGAAAGCATTTCTGCACAGTCGCTTTATTGCATTACAAATGGGTTAATAAGAGAGCTTTTGAACCCTTTCCTGGGCCAGCTTTGTAAGTAAAAGCTTGGTTAAAATACTCCAGGTGGGGTCTACTGAGCACCAAGAAGGGCAACACCAGCAGCTCCCAAATGGTACAGCCCAAGACGAACACGAGTACCGAGAAGCGGAGGGGTATGTGACGTGTGACAACAAGTGCTGTGAACACTGACACGATACCACATCTCCGTAGTCTCTCTGCACACACGGCCGGAGAGCCGCGTGGAGGGCGCCTGTGGGGCTGTGGGTCTTGCACCTCCGCTACGCCTTGGCCCATGCTGGCCAAACTTCTACCAACGTGCCATTAAGAGTTGTAGCAACTGAGCAAGGACTACAGTGCCTTACTTCTCTGCAAAACCGCTGAAGGTTTTTGCAAAATAGGGGTCTATTCACACTGGTCTGTGGCTTGAGAGTCCACTAGCCTAAATGTCTTCTGAATATTGTGTCACTTGAGAAATCCTTCCTTTTCTCAAGATTAAATGCATTTTCTCCATCTGATCTTCAAGGCAAACAACATGAGACAAAAAAATGAATAAAGTAGGATTGGATAGGATAGGATAGGATAGGATAGGATAGGATAGGATAGGATAGGATAGGATAGGATAGGATAGGATAGGATAGGACAGGACAGGACAGGACAGGACAGGGGATGGGAGGAGATGGGACGGCCAAATACAGGATCGTACCTGTTAATTAGGGTGGTGTGAAGGTTGGAATTTGTCAATGTCTTTTTCACTGAAAAATGGGCAAATGGTACAGCACAAGATGAACTTGTAAATAAAATCCTAGCATCTGAGCAACAAAATTAAACATAGCTGGGCAAGTCATGTTGTATTAGCAGCTAGCCATTCATAGAAGGTCAAAATCAGGACTATTCTGTCCTTTGCAAAAAGCTCCACAAACTTCAGCAGCGTGTATCATAAGACAGATGCAGGGTGCGTGGCAAGGCTTACAGCACACCGTCGGGCACCGAACACCAAGGGCCTCACTGACTAGAGAAAGCAGGATGCCTATTCCACGGCCAACAATCACAACCCAGCTGCAATCCCAAAGCTACCAACCAGGCAGGCGTGAAAAGACCCGTCTGTCTTGTTTGGTATTATCTGTTTGTTTGTCTGTCATAATGGGGATTAAATCCAGGACCTTTACACTGAGCTATACAGTGTATACCCATTTATTTATTTTTTTATTTATTTACCTTTTGAAATAGGCAGGGCCTTGCTGAATTGCGCAGGTTGGGCTCAAACCTGCGATCCTCCCGCCTTACCCTCACAGAGCGCTGGGATTACAGGCGTGTGCTGCCAGGCTTGCTATGCCCTTTAATATCCCAAAGCTGTGAACTCTTTTGCTGTCAGAGGGAGACCGAGAAGATAAATGCATGACAGGCAAGCAGGCTGAACTTTTGATCAGTCACCTCACTGGTTTAACTTGCAGGGACGAGGGATAACACACAGCCGAGTCTTTAAGAATAATTCTAAATTTTGTTACCGAAAACCCTACACTCCTTGCCCTTCATCTCGCTTTTCTTCTTGCAGCAATTGCCGTAAGTAGAAACGTTTTTACTAACGTGAAATTTCTTGGGGAGGTAAGCGCAATCATCACGGCAGAGTCACATTAACTATCTATCCTTTTCTTCCGGTCGGCTGGAAACGCTCGTGCATAGGGGCTTCAATTTTTCAGAGTCCTTCTCCTCTGCAAGGAACCCACACCCTGTACCCCAGACTACAAGGCAGCAAACGATGACATCAGGGGCTACTTTCTGTGTTCTCCAGAATTAACTGCCTCATCCATGAAGAGCGTTTTAACTTTTTCACCAGGCGGCAAAACCTGCAGCACCGGCTCTGTAATACCCTCCGCATCTCCAGTGCCCTTCCCGGGGAGAGGGCACCGGTCACAGCACTTCCTCTTCACAGCCGCGATTATCCACACCGACCCACTCAAATCCCAGGGACTGGGGCTGGGGATTTAGCTCAGCGGCACAGCGCCTGCCCAGCAAGCACAAGGTCGTGAGTTCGATCCCCAGTACTGGAAAAAAAAACAAAAAACAAAATCAAATCCCAGGGACTAAGCCATTGGGGGTGTGAAAGTCTCACGCTGCAGGTTCTCAAAATAAGAAAACCCTCATCCCCGAGGGGGTTGGGAGGGACCTGCCGCAAGCGGATACCGCTGCCAGGGTCACAGACTCAGGTGCTCTCAGGGGACCTGGCGGAGAATTCCCCAGAGCAAAGCAGGCGGTGCGAGACAGGTGTCCCTGACAGCAGCAGGGACCGTGGCCAGCTGGGCAAGGAGGGGCCCTGTCCCCTGCCAGCCTGCCTGCTGCCACGCCGGATACGGCCAGGAGGCCGGGCAGACGCTCGCAGGGAAGCCGGGGCCCGGGGAGCGCGCCGAGACCTCTCCGCGCTTACCAGGTAGCAGGCGTCTACCTAAGGCCGAGGGCCGCGCTCCCCTGTTCCCGCCACTCCGCAGGGCCCGCCCGCCCTTTCTTTCCTTTGCCCGTCTCCCGGTGAGTATTCGCGGTCACCCAACCGTTAGGAAGACCACTTCACACACTAGGGCTAGGTGCGATCAAGCCTCGGTCCGCACAGAAGACGCCTTGGCGAGACCTGACTCGAACGAACACCGCTATCTCCGAAGCTGACTCGCTTCTGCCGCTCTCACTGCCCCATTTTCCGAGCCGGCCGTCTCCACGGAGCAAGGTTTCTGCTAAACAACCAACCCTGTGATCTCCTCTCATTCGTTTCCTTTTGAAGCCTGTCTACCCCACGGCAATCCAAAAGCTCAGCACCTGGGATGAAATACGAGGGACTCCTCAGGAACCCGGAGCCGGCCGTGCCTGCACTCCACCCTGGCCCCCGCTGTCCCAGGTACACAGCTCGGTCCCGCTGCCCAACCTCACACCCGCTTGTCCCAGCTCCCGCGCAGGGGCGCCCGCCCCTTCTCAGAGTCAGCGGCTCCAACTCCGCCCCTCCAGAGGCCTCCCTGCCGCCCTCTGCCCACAGAAGCCTACGATGACCCTCGCCCGCTCTCCCACTGCCCCAGAGGGAGGCACCCGTGCCAGGCTCCGGGCACCTAGGACCCGGTGTCCCCTTCCAAAGCCCGCTGTCTCCTAGATGCCCAGTGCTTGAAGAGTTCAGCAGTCAGCCAGTGCTGAACCCGCAGGCACCACTAAGCTGTTTTATTCTTATTTCAGAAAAACCAGCGTTCCCCTCATCTGCCTTTGGAAAGTCCCAACATTAAATTTCAGGGGGTTTTCTTTGCTGTATTTAGTTAGCTAGTTAGTTTTGTTGTTTTGTTTGTTGCGCAGCACTGGGGACAGAACCCAGGGTGTCTGCGCTGAGCTACATCCCCAGACTTTTCAAAATTTTTATTTGGTGACAGTGTCTCGCTGACTCCCGCAGCACGTTTCGTTTTGAAGAATTCTAGCTCTTTTCCAAGTGACTCGGGACACCGTGCTGAATAAGCAAGCGGCGCGGGCCTGAGGAGCGAGGGCCTTTCCTCTGAAGCACTCACCTCCTTCTCGCGTTCATAGTCCTCTTTGTCGTAGTCCTCTTCCTCGTTCTGTGTCTGCAGCGCCACACTGCCGAAGTCCAGCGACATGGTCCTCCTGCGGGAAGGAGGCGGGGGCTGGTTTCCGGGAGAGACAAAAGGAACACCTCGCGCAGAGCCAGAAGAAACAGGCCGGCAGAAAGCACGCTCAACTCACAGCTGGGGAACAGTGTTCTGAATACAGAGTCCCTGCAGTCGCGATGCACAGAAATATCTGTACAAACAGCACTTCAAAAACTTTAGTTTACTGTAACAAATAGGTAAACTATGAACAGAGTTTGCTACAGTTTGGCAAAGTCTATCTTAAAACAGGTTTTTTCACAACAGAAAATGAGACAATGATACTAACCATGAACTAGAATATCAAATATAACAATCTGAAGAATAAAGGCAAACAAATTACCAAAGTTTGTCTGAAACGTGGGAGCAGGGCGTGGTAGTACAGGGTAGTACACGCCTATAATCCTAGCCCTGAGGAGGCTGAGTCAGGAGGATCACTTTGAGTCAAGGCCAGGCTAAACTACAAAGTGAGTTCAAGGCCAGCCTCAAACAAACAAACAAAAAAGAAATACAGAAACAAGGCAGGGTAGTAATTGCTATAATTTGCTTCATTCTTTAAATACCATGAATCCAAACATCATGCTTTATAAACAGAGCTCCTAAACTGGAGTTAACAATTGCTACCCAGAAAGCATTCAGGATCTGGTAAAACCATCAAGCACACAACAGAAATCTAAGCATCAAATATCTTGCTCTTAAATATGACTTTAAGCCGAGTATGGTGGCACACGCCTGTAATCGCAGCACTCAGGAGCCTGAGGCAGGAGGAT